AACACGCCAGAACCATGCACTTCTTCCACGAATTGTTCCTAAAAATACAATATTATTTTTGTTTAATATTAATTTATTTTTAATCGTTCATATCTAATATAAGTATGGTAAATAAAAATTATGAACGATACCTCGCTAATTGGCACTTGACGACTATCTTCGTTATAATAATTCATTCTAATTAATTTGAGATTGAGCAGCAATGCCGCATAAGTTGCCAAATAAATTCCATCGGCGTTCATAATCGTTATAAGCGGGCATGAATCTGTATTATTTGTATTATCTGTTCTTTCTTGCATTTTTTGTTGAACTGCAAATACTTATTTAGTAACAGAAGAATTTATTTTAATTATAATATAATTAATTTGTTTATATTAGTTCAAATTATTATTGATTGATTATATATTTTTAAAAATTGTCTATAATTATTTGTAAACGTAATAAGTACCACTAAAGATAGCTCTAACATTTATTTTATATATTCTTCTCATATTTATTTTTTTTTTTTTTTATTTAAAAATCATCTATAAACCTTCGAGTTAAAATTGGTGCATTATAATTATATTTTATCAATAATTATCACGGTAACACCATCTGTCGGTAAAATATTTATCCAAAGTGCATTTATAAATGCACTTTAATACATATTGCACATCACAGGAGTTTAGAAAGTTTCTCGACAGATAACGTTCGCGAGAAAAGTTATCGACGGAGTAAAATATTATCTACATTCAGGCGCAATATATTCAACATATATTTTATAGAAATAATAATTATACGCGAGCGTAAATAAATTATATAAATTCCTCACCTTGACAATATTCCGAAGCAAAATTTTGCAATGCCTCGTCAACTTCGATATTACTCCTAAGTATAAGCACCATTGGTATTAAATCGCTTCGTAAAGTTTTAACAAATTTTCTTGCGTTATGTCTTTCAACGTCAACGTTACACTCATCGGCAACCTGTCGACCTACGTGAAGACATTTAGGTAATTTTTCTAATCTAAGTCTCTCCCGTTCGTTCTCGATAGCATAATCGTTATCATCGAGACTGTTATCCTCGTGCACCTCGTCTGATTCATTCTGAGGACCTTCTGTGTCAGTCGAATCACCATCTTCTGATGGTCCATGACCAGATGAGTCTGAATCTGAACCAATACCCTTCTTCATTAACTCTAATTGTTCCCTGAAAATGAATTCATCGTATATAATACAAATGATTATAATTAAACGATGAAATTTATGAATTTCTTATTGAAATATAAATTACCTATAAGTTTTTGGTAATCTTGCCATACTTTGGTAAGTTAAAGGTCCACGATAGTCACAAGATTCCAAATCCTCGTACAAACTATTGATCGTGCAAGTGTAATTATGATTAATGGCTTTGCCCTCGCAAAGTTCTTGAAGTGCTGAAAGCATTGCAACTATGCAAGAAACACTGGCATGCAATATAGATAATCCTCCTGTTGTTGATTCTTCGATCGAGTCCATTGCTCTGGAAGGAAACATGAATTTTATTTATCATATTTCACATAATGAAAACTATCGCATATTTATTACTATAAGAAAATTTAGAAATATTAATTAACATATTATTTAACTTACAATCTCATTAACGCCATATCACTTTGTATATGACTCGAACGATCTTCCTCGACGAGTAAAGGACCAGCAAAGTCAACCATGCGACTAGGACTGTGCAACAACTCTTTCAATGCTTTCAAAGGTTCTAAACGTTGCTGAAGTGGAGGATATAATAACATTCTATGAAAAACTGATTCTAACACCGGTCTTAGAGGACCTACACAGCCAACCAGTCTCACAAGTTCAGTACCAATGCTAGAAATAATCAAAAAATAAGTTAGATTATCTCAAAATTCGATGTAATATTGTTATTCTTGTTTTTTTTTTTTACAAAATTACCTGTACACAGTCTTTGCCTGATGACTGTCAAAACTTAACGACGTAGCGAGATAACCCGATCCCCTACCAACTTCATTTTCCTTACCCTCTCTCGATGTAAAAGTTTTATCTACTCTAGGTGTTCCTAGAAATGCTATCAAAGCTGGACAAAATTTTTGCCAGAGGAAGGTAGTGAAGTGTGCGTTAGTGTGAATCTTTTGCGGAAGCGACGATATCAAAGTATGAAGACATTCCAAAAGAAACACTACCGTACTACCGTTTCTTGCGTTACTGTAACAAAATATCCTAAATATTGCAACAAACATTTTTCCATGATATCGTATATAAACGCGTTTGATGATTATCGACAAACGTTGATACGTTTCTCTTACTTTTGAGCTTCGTCGAGTTTACTACAAATATATTGAAGAATCGGCAAGGCCTCGTTAAAACACGACACGCCACGTTCTCGTACATTTTTATTCTTTTTCGCGTTCTCGTCCATCTCCTGACATTCTTCGTCTGTAAAAAATATTTCATTCGTTATTTTCCCTTAATTTCTTTTTAAATAAAGAACAACTGTCCAAGATATGATTAATCTATAGCTTGATTAACAAAATCAATTTGTTAAACTAAACTAATTTAAAGTTTGATTGATGAAGAACGTGACTACACACGCGATCTTAAAACTTATCGATCAAACTTTTCTTTAGTTTCTTAAGATAAAATCGATTAGGATATAAAATGAAAGTATATCTATGTATACATATATATATATATACCTAAAAACAAACAAAAAGATCTTAAGGTTTGGCTCGTTGCAGCCTGTGCCGCAGTACGAACAGCTTGATTTCCATTCTCGAAAGCTTCACTGCAAGTCGTAAGAATTGCAATAATTAAACGGCCGTTCATCGTCCAATATGGGGAACATGCTACTTGAAGTAAAACCTGCATTTAAAATGAAAATTGTAATCATTCGTTTAAGATATAATTTTTTCTTTCTTATTTTCTTTTTTCTTTTTTTGTTTTTTTTTTACTTACTTTAAGCATATCCGTTTGAGTATCGTCCGATTGCGAAAGCATCGAACTCATCGTGTGTAACATTTGAGCTGGCAACCATAAGGAATCATCTTCCGGTTCGTACGGAGATTGAAATATGTCGTCTCTCAACATCTTCTGCATTGCGCGACAAATTAAGAAAATAAATGTTAAAATATTTGAATTAATTTTGATAACACATCGAATTGTTATTCGGCGTCTAAGTGAAATTAAATTTTACTAAAGTACAAATATGGCGGTTCTATTTGTGATATCATCATTTTATCGTAGACTTCCGGAACACAACTACCGCAAACGAAAACATTGAATCGTAACGTCAAACTCTTTACTAGTATAATATCACATTGCAAATAAAACAAATATTATAAAACGTATTAAATGCGTTGCATCAAATACTTGAAACATATCTTTCGATTGTTGCATATACGTTATCCGTAAATAACGATAACAAAAAAAATGGTCTCGTATGTATGATAGATGAAAAATATCTATCTATATAAATTATTATTTTAATCGTAAAAAATCTCACATGTAATCCCGATAGGCCAAAAGCAACGAACTTGCTTCTTTTCGTTTCGAGTGCTAGCTGAAGCGCGTGTAAGCATTTCGCTCGTAATTCGTGCGGTGGATCCCGCAACAAACCTTGCTGTTTACCCAAGAAATCTGAAAAAGATGAAAAAAATAAAATGTCCAAATTATCAGGAATAAATTCGATAAATGATTGAGCTGTCGTGAAGTTTGTCGTTGTTTGAAATGATTTTAAAAGAAAAACGAAATGGAAAATCCGTGTGTATACTTTGTTAACCACAATCTAAACGAGCTGTAATCTTGTCCAGAAAAATTATGACGTTTACGTATCGAGTACAAATATTATATAGTTTTTTTAAACTGAAACTCACCGTACGCTTCCTGCGCCGATTTCCGTAAATTTTGTAATTTCGCATTATTCGACTCCCTGATGATCTGCTGCAAGAGATCCTCCATGACACGGCGGGCTGCCACGCGACTGATCGATAGCGGGTGTGCCAATGCACGATACGTATATACGACTTATCAGGACCGTATCAAATACATCTTTTTTAAAGGGGCTTCACAAAAATATTCTCTTATCGATCGAATTTTTATATATTTTATGGCTTTTCTTTTTTTCTCGTTTTATTTTTATTTACGTTATATTCTTTTATAATTGTTTGTCATTTGGTATACACAATGTAAAAAGAAATTACAATTATTACAATGATGTCTAATCATTTTTTATTATTGGTACACCTGCTAACATCTATCTCTCATAGTGGGGATTCCCACTCTATACAATTGAGTTTCTAGTAAATCAATTTATTAATTTTCTCATATTTGAAACTCCCGCTACTTTGATAGCAGAAATCGAATTCAATCAAAATTACGAATCGTTTAACTCGACTTTAATATCGATTTCAAGTCAATACATTTATTAATGTTCTCACTTTTCAAACTCCCGCCATTTTAATAGCAAAAATCAAATTCAACAAATATTACATAGCGTGTCACTTGATTTTTAATATAAATTGCAAGTAATTCAGTTTAAAAGCAAAAAAATAGAACATATTGAATAATAAAAATCAACAAGATGTGCATAATAAATAAATAAAATATGATCTTTATCATATACATGATGTAATCAATATATCTATACAAATAAGTAATCAATAATTAGCTGTCATATTATTGAACAAAATTCAGGAACATGTGATTGCAGGAAAGTAATTTAAATAAAGCGCGCGAAAATGATCTTCAATGGCTATCACTTTAAAATGAAAATAATAAAAATCCTATTAATCTTTTGTTTAATTAAATGTTTATTTAAAATACAATTACATGTAGTTTGAAATAAAACTCGAGTAAAATGATGAGGACGAATGAAAAGTATGAAAAAAAAAAAAGAAATAATTAATGTGTTTATTCACATAAAAAAATATAATTTATTAATAGATTCTCGTGAGTTCGTTGACCGTATTAATAACAAGCATCTGCTTAAGATATAAAAAAACAAGACAAAAACCTACGAACGTCTATTTAAACGAACCTGTCTCGTAGGCGAGGTCATATGGCGAATCATGTCGTCTGTGAAAAAGATGGCGACGACAAATAACAGTAAACCGAAAGGAAGGAGATTATCGAAAGAAAGTATAGATTTTTATCCTCTTGCTGTGCATCTGTTAAGTAAGAAATTTTCTATATTAAATTTCAATGAAAATATAATATTATTTGTGATATCTCATAAATGATTTATTATTTTTTATGACAACAGGTATTGGTTTTGGGTTTCTACACCGGTGGCATGTATCAACGCTTTTTGAAAATGATCGACACTTTTCTCACTTATCAGAGATCGAAAGAGAAATGTCTTTCAGGACCGAAATGGTTAGTTTAAAAAACACAAATTTTATATACAATGTTCATAGAGAAGATTAGTATATATGTTGTTTTACAATGTTATCAATACTATTGGTTTTTTAGGGAATGTATTATTCGTATTATAAAACCATCGTAGGAGCAGAAAGTTTTGCTGATGGTGTTTATAAACTTGCTAAGGATAACATATCAGAATATGGAAATGTGATAAACGCGTGCAGAAAATACAACCTCTTGCCAGAGGTAAATGTTTCTCCAACACAACGATTATATATCTTAACTTGATTAATTTTGAGATTATTAGATGATTTTGTATATATAGATTACAGCCAGTTATTTCTATCACAGTGCCAAGAATCTAGGATTAATATCGCAAGAACAATGTTGGAAAGTAAGTTTACTAGTGTATTTTTTGTTATTGTTATTTCTTTGGAAAGAATAACCATAAGGCAGTTCATTTTAGACAGAGAGAGGAGGTGGTTTACCACCGGTAACCAGCTGTGAAGGATTAGGCGTACCTGTATATTTTTATCTTGAAATAGTTTGGATTACCACCATATATACGGCTGCTATACTTTTTAAATACTCTACATATATGAGTGATTCTGTGTTCGGTGGTATTATTACCATGCTATTATTTTTCTACAATCATAATGAGTGTACACGTGTTCAGTGGACTCCGCCATTAAGAGAAACCTTTGCATATCCAATGTTACTCTTTCAAATGTATTCGGTGACTAAGATCATTGAACGACACACTACGCAGGATATACAAGGAACTATAAGTTGGAGAGAACTTACCGATGGATTATATGTGGTAAATATTCATACTTCTTTTTTGATAATCCAAGTTATTAATGCGTTGACTACTAGTGTCATATCTGCGACAATAATCAAAGCGAAACATAAATTCTCTAAAATATCTTATTTTACTGCGTTACATAATAATTATATTTAATTACAGAATATGCTTTTGGGAACCGTGATTAGTCTGTGTAGTTGGCAATTTTCACAATTTATCTTGGCCACTCAAATACTAGCTCTTCTTATTCTTAAATGGGTTGAAATTATACCTAAGAATCTATTCTTATCGCTAAGTAGAATATATACAATTTCTAGTATTTTATCGGTGGCTGTGATAGATGGCACGTTCTTATTTAATTCTTTATTCGCGTGTATTTTGATCGGTAGTAATTTCGCAGAAGTTCTTGCCAGTAAATGTTCTCGTTTCTTGAATGGCAGAAAAGAAGTTATTTTTGAGATAATTATTGCTGTACTTTTCATAAAATGGTTGAAAACATATATTCTCACCATTGAAGATGACGCACACATTTATAATATTTTAAAATCAAAACTAACAGACTATAAGGATTTTCATACCCTGCTCTATACGTGTTCTCCGGAATTTGATTTCTTGCAATATAAAACTTATGAAGCAATCATCAAGACTTTACTTTTGCCAATTGCAATACTCTCAGGGATATTAGCACTTTATTATTGGTATAGAGAATATGAAAGTGAAGGATATCCTTATTGTATAGAAGCAGACGTATGTTACAATGGATTGCAAACTGGAGCTTTCATTATTATGGCTGTATTCATTATGAGATTAAAACTTTTCATGACACCACATCTCTGTATAATAGCAGGGTTGGTGTGTAGTAAAAGATACTCGGAAAAACTTGGATTAAGAAGTAAAACAATCAGAGGAGCTATAATAGTCTTACTTATAGCTGGTATGTCTTATCACGGTTTGGAAAGATTTCGAGAAGAACGAGGATTCGTTGGTAATTAATATTCATATGTTATTCATGTATTAAACAAATATATTTCCCTCATTGCTTTATAAAATCTAAAGTAATCAATATTTTATATTCATATAGGAGAATACAGTAATATCGAACAGGAAGAATTATTTGAATGGATAAAAGAAAATACTCCTAAGAACGCAGTATTCGCTGGTAAAATGGCATTAATGGCTAATTTGATGTTATCAACTGGAAGACCTATTGTAAATAATCCTTATTACGAAAGTGCAGAAATGCGGTTAGTTTTTTATTATTAATATTTTTGATACAGATAACATATAAATTGATACGAATCGTAATAAAGTTATTATCTCATTTATTTCAGAAATCGAACGATGACAGTTTACGAAATTTTTAGTAGGAAAAATGCAACATCCGTATATCTTAAATTAAGAAATATGAATGTCGGTTACGTTGTATTAGAAGAGCCATTATGTCTCGGATACGCAAATGTGTAAGTTTTATAAACTTGACCTTCTAATTAACATATTAATCCTTTGCACTCCCATAGTGAGTCTCACTATTACAGTTAATACAAAGAACAAGATTGTAAATAAGACTCATCGTTGGAATGCTAAGGGTTAATTAAATGTCTACTGATAATTCATTTTCTTTTTAGGCCAAACGGTTGTCAAATGGTCGATTTATGGGATGTGGTTGATAATGGAATGGCGAAAGCAAGTGGAAAACCACCCCTTTGTCCATTATTATTAGAAGGGAACGCTTATCCCTTCAAACGAGCTTTCATGAATAATCATTACGTAGTTTTACAATTAGTTTATTCGCATTATCTAGAATATAATCCAAAGACTTCCACGCCGCTCCAGTATCAATTTTGAATATTGCGTTCGAGATGACTGAAAAAACGTGACTAATTAATAGATACAAAGATTCTTCGTAATATAATAATATCTCCTATAGGCCTATTTTTCTTAAGAAAATGACGGGAAACAAAAAGTGACGAAAGAAAAAAAGAATTACACAAATATTATATATATATATATCTATAGAAATATTATATAGGAATCAATATATATATATATATTTTGTTAACGCTAATTTGTGAGATAAAGAATGGAAGAATTTTCTTTTCGGAAGAGGCGTACTCTTTTCGTATCTGTATAAAACGTTTCTAACGAAATTTTAATTAAAATCGAGTTAGGAAACGAATCTATTCGATAATGAATAATTCGTTTGAAGATAATACAAGATCCAAACAAACGAGAGTTGATCGTTAACGATTATAGCTTCCGACTGATCGTTCGAGACTGCTCAAAACATTTTTATAATGAAAAGAAGAGAAAAATAAATTAAAAAAAAAAAATTATAAAGTCAAGAGATACCTAGATGGTTTTTTTTAAATTTGCCAAGAAAAGTAAGGAACAATTGGAATTTAAGTATTAGACCTTTTCTTTTTTTTTCAATTATAAATTTTACTTGTAATATAAGAACAAATTTATATTATAGATTCATTAAAGGATTTTCTGTGTGTGCGTGCGTTTTGTGTAAATAATATAATGTAAATATTTAAGTTTCTTTTTTATTTTCTATTCATTTTTTTATTTTTATACATTCCACAAGAAAAAAGTTCGAGAATATAGAATGCTTATTAAACTAGGTTCCTTCCTCGCGCGTCGTCCCTCATCATCGAAGTATTTTTATCGAAGTGCTAACGAAGAGTAAACGATTGGTTGGATGAACAAAGTAGAAAGAAAAAAGAAAGAAAAGAAAAAAAAAACAAGGCAACGAAGAGCGCAAACGTTCGCACCGATGAGGATCGGCCTTGAACGATCAAAGCATGTGCGTGGATTTGCCGTATGGGATATGATGATGGATGAATGTTTAAAAAAAGAAAAAGAAATACGCAAGGGAAATCGAAAAAAGAAGAGAAGGCGAAAGAGAAAATGGGGGAAGGAAAGGAAAAGAATTGGATGGTATGGGATGGGACGGGACGAGAAGCGATGGGAAGGGAAGGGAAGGGTAAGAGAATGATAGAGGAAGGGACACCGAGGGAAAGATCGAAGTATCGTGACGCAAAGATAGCTCCGTTATGACCGACACGGCATAGCACCTTCACTTTGGAGTGCAACAGATAGTATAGTGGAGAGTTCGAAGCGTTTGCTATACTACGTTGTGCCGCTGACCCAAATGAATCCTACTGACAGTCAGTCCCGGGCCGGGCTTCTTCGCGGTGATATTGCTCCCGCGTTCTTACTCTTCAATAGATTTATATTAAAATAAAAATAATAATAACAACAACAACAACAACAATAAAAATAATAATTATTATAAAGAACACAATAATAAAAGTCTGTCGCGTAAAAAAAAAACGTTGTTATCCGCGTGTCGACGAGAGAACATAAGAGAAAGGGATATCTCGTTCGTTTTTAATCGGAGAGACATTAATGCGCACCAATAATATCGTTCCCGCATCGGTTACGTGATAAATTGTTTCCCATATTGTCACTTAATTTACGAAACGCGAAGGAGAAACGTTACCACGATGAAGAAGGGATTCGTGGAAAGTGAAAAATCATTCTCAACGATAGGATAATAGTAGGATTAAATACGGAGTTACGATCGTTTTGAAATTTGTTCGGGAAAAGTATCTATGATTTCGTGAATCTTGATTGGCTTTTAAATTGGTGGAGCTTCGATCGTAAGGCGGGAAAGGAGAAATAAAAAAAAAAAAAAAGGGATAAATTGAAATTTTCAATGAGAGTATAAAGAGAGGAAGATTACGAAAAGATACACAGGATTTATGTTAGAACACGTGTAAGTATGCTAAATCGGTACTGCTGACTGTCGCGAGGAACGAGGGTACACGGTCGATCTGAAAATACGCATTGCCGGGTTGCTTGTGAAAAGGAAAGAGAAATACTACGAGACCACGGTGAAAAACGACGAAGGTGGAGGAGGAAGAGGAAGAGGAAGAAGCAAAAGTAGAAGAAGAAGAGGAAGAAGAAGAAGAAGAAGAGAAAGAGGAAAATTCGTTCGCAGGATGTAAAAGATTTGCTAGAACAACGTTTAACGATAAAATTAAAATAAAAGGCAATTTACTGTCGACATACGAAGGATTTATTTAACGAGGAACCCATAATTTTGTCAACGAAAAAGCAGCAATGCGGTTGCAGTTAACAAGGGTGTTTATTGTTCTACGATAATCATTGACAGCACCGAGTTGCCAGTGAGTATTTAACGATCATTTAAACAAACATTATTAAACGCGTCGTCGAGGGTGACAAAATTTCATTTCCTTCATTCACGCTTGAGAAAAACGAGAGAAACCAAGGCGGGAGGAAGGGTGAGAGGGAGGGAGGGAGGGTAGGAGGTTGGACCTCAAGGACACGTCTTCCACTTTGCGACCTTGTCTGCGATTTACCAACGAGAGCCCATTAATTTGCTCAACGAGTAAGACTCGATGAGCGCTTAACTCACTATAATAATGACTCTTCTTCCTTCATTAGATCATTTTTTTATAAATCTTCTTACGATCTTCTCTCTTTCTTTCTTTTTTTTCTCTCTCTATTCCTCTAATTAACACATTCATTTAATCTCTAAATCATAGAATGCATCATCATCATCATCACTTGCAATAACGATCGTAGGATTTTATTATTAGTCGAGAAATCAGTCGAGTTGGAAACCCTTGGAAGTCGTGCGAGCAGAACTCGTTCCAGGTTGGCCTCGAAAGCGACCGCGGGACAACATAGAGAGAGAAAAAGAGAGAGAAAAAGAAAGAGAGAGAGAGAGAGACGGGTCGTTGCCGTGTTAGGAATTTGGCACGACGCATTCTTCGAGTACGGGGCCTCGCAAAAACTGGTGATGCAAAGAACACACCGAGGAAGAAGAAGAAGAAGCCTTACTAGTTTGTCCTGAATCTTTAGTCGATAGAAGAAGAAGAAGAAAAAGAATTAGTCGATCGGTGAAGTCTCGAATGCCGTTTAATATGATTATCGATTCGAGCATGTTCACATGCTAAGACTAATCTTCGCGATTTTCTATTCGCACATACATACTTATATAAATATACATAGATGCATAGATACATACGTGTATAAATACATTGAGAATATCATCGAGTATCTGTTACTTTCTCGAGCCACGTATTTCTAACCTACTTTTGCAAATCGTAACCCCCCTTCTGAGGGAGGGAAAGAAAGAAAGAGAGAGAGAACACGATGGTTACTATCGCACGGAGATACTCGTGCCAAGTCTTCTTTTATCACGACGGATGATTCGGATCGTTAAATTCGGTGCAGTGGCCCTGCGAAATCGTCGAAAGCCGAAAATTTTTCAATTCGTTGCTGCAGTTCGTTCGAGGAGCCTCGACTTATATTCGCTCGGTAGATCTCAATTGAGAAAAATAATTAACTTTTATAAATAACTTTTTATATTAATTTTTTTTTATACTTTTATAATTATTTATATATAGCCCCTGTTAGAGAGAGATAGAGAGATCTTCGTTTATATTTATACCCACACGTCTCTATACGATTGAAGGTATTTAATAGAAGATCTAAATCAGTCGTACGATTAATTAATTGAACGACCCACGTTCTACGGACGCGAGGACATTTATCGTGGGAATATAAAAGAGTGACCGGCATCGAGTAGAATTCTTTTTTCTCTCTTTTTTTTTTCTTCTTTTTTTCCCTATTCTACGACACACAACCACGTCTTTTCCGCGGTGAAACGAAATAATCCTATTAAATCAGTGAGATTACTCGAGAACGCGGTGCATTTATTATGTTAAGTCCGTTGCACGATTGATTATTATAGTAATTATCTCTCTCGGTTCTATTCGTATACACTGTGGATGGTGTATAAATAACGGGAAATATACGAGAATACCAGAAAGAGAGAGAAAGAGAGTGGGAGAAAAAGAAAAAGAATAAATATAAAGACACCGGTTATAACAATAAGAAATTCAACGACATAATATTTCCATCAGGAAACTGGTGTAATATAATTTCAAGGTAGAGGCCGTTATTTTTCTTTAGCCTTACGGTTAGGATAGATTTTTTTTTTTGTTTTGTTTTAATTTTATTATTTTGAAAGAGCTTTTACAAGCAGAATAAGTAACACTCGCCGATATTCTTTGTATAAACGAGAAATAGAGAGTAGGCATCAAATCTACGAGTTTAAAGAGAAAGAGAAACAGAAAGAAAGAAAATTCCAAGCCGGAGTTTCACATGACCGAGTTAGAACATCCAGTTTTACTGGGACAATGGTTATGACACGGGAGATCGCTTTCACACCACGTTCTACGTGTCTTCTCGCGATACATCGCGATGTGTTACTCCTAAGCTTTGCGCTAAATTAACAGAGGTCATAATCATAAACGTCATTTTCGTCCCTCCACGTACGTCATAACGCAATTGCGGACATTGCCATTTCGATGATAATAATCTTTTAAGTATGTATGTACATGTGTTTAACTCTAATGTTTACGTGTATATTATGTCTGCATTTAAGTATATACGTTTTTGCGAAAGCAAATGAGATCATTTATGAAACAAGATTAGATCATATAATATACTAAAAAACAAACGAAAAAACAATTGAGTTAAATACTTCGAGGTTTTATTTCCTCTTCTTCTTCTTCTTCTACTTCTACTTCTTCTTAATTAATGAATTTACGATCGTTTAATGAAATTAAAGTCGACTATATAAGTTTCCTTACTCGAAAAATGATATGTCCTACGTGGTTTGAAAGTATGAAACAACTTTCTTTGAGATAATTATTAAGGAGAGTATTATATATTATATCGTTTGGACGTTTAATTCTCCTTTCTCTTTTTGCATGACTATTTATAATATTAGACAATTTGTTTATTCGATAGAAAGTTTGCTTCATTTTCAAACCTCTATCCATAATTTTTAATTACTCGCTTACAAACTTGCGTATCTCCGATTTCTCTCTTTTTTTTTTCTTCTTCTTTTTTCCTTTTTTCTACTCATTTTTATTTCACGAAATTATGATTGATATTTCTTTTTTTCATTTTTCGTGTGAAAGATGTAGAAATTATTTTTAATATCGAATATATAATAATTAGTTAACGATCTTTTTTTTTTGCTATTCTTAAAATTGTATTGAATTCTTTTCACCCACATACACGCATTTTACTCTTGTATATATATATTTACGAATTAAATTTATTTTTTAATTTGTTATATGTTTAATTTTTTTTTGTTTATTAATTATTGCTTTTCTTTATCGATTTAATAGAAGACGATTGTTTAAAGTGATTTAACACGTTCCAATTTTTTTGTTTGTTCGACTTTCGAAATTCATAAAATTCTTCTCACCTAGATATACACAAATATCACTCATGTATTCTCTCTCTTTCCTACAATTTGCATTTCACGAAATTGATTTTCCCCCATTGAAAATATGTCAAGGAAAGACATTCATCGATTGAGTACATAACAATTATTTAGATACTTCAACGCTCTCGAATCTTTTTCTCCGACTCTCACAATTCATTAAATTCTTTTCAAATGTATATAAATATATATATATATAGGTCACGTTTATTGTTTCTTTCATACAATTTTTATTTCACAAAATTAATTATGTTTTTTATTCTATATAAAATATTATTTTATGTCAAGGAAACATCTATCCATTTAACTAATGATATAAAACAATGATTTTAATATTTCAAAACTCTTTCAATTTTTTTTGTTTCAATTCTCATAAAACTTTTCTCACTTATATATACATGCATTAGTATTCACGTATTTATATCACTCTTACATCAAATTAATTATATTTCTTTCAGAGAAAATATATTTTGACAGGAAAAAATCATGAAATTATTTTCACTTCACCCCATAATACTGCAAAGGGGATTGATTTGTCCTATTATTAAAAGGAAATGAAAGTGTGTTACAAAAATCTTTCTTTCTTTGAAACATTTTCTCATTCGAAAAGATTCTATTCGCGTTTGAATATATAATAGATATTTTTTTTCTCTTCCTCTTTGTTTGTTTTTTTTGTTTGTTTGTTTCTTCTTCTTCTTCTTTCTCTATTTCTTCCTTCCCGACCTTGGTAACTCTACGGCACCTATCGACATTCCAACTTAATCGAACGGCACGCCTCCCATAACGATGGACCCGAGCCGCATACCGATGAGCCTTTTACGAACAACACACACACACACACCTACACTAATCTCTTTTTATGTTCGACTGACCTATAAGGAGAGAGGCGCAAAACCTTAGAACGAAGAAAACGGATGATACGTTTGACTTCGACCGGATTTTCTTTAATGCATTCAACTATAAACCCCACCGTTTACTCTTTTATAACCCTTTCTCGAAAGAAGAAGAAGAAAGAAAACTAACAATAACTTACAAGATTCTATTCCTTGCTGTTTATCTTAAAAATGTATTCGAAAACATCGTGTAATCGCGCTTAATCCTTTTTTTTTTTTTTTTTAGATTTACAAAGTTCACCTTTCAAAGCTAATAATCGGATTTCACAATTGGAAACATTTATAATCGGGATTAGACGTTTAACGATTAATAAAAATGTATGCTTTTCGTGTATAGTAAAAGTAAAGATAAAATACGCTTATCTTTTTTTTTATTTAACAGTGTCCTATATTGAAGAACTGAAAAATATATTAAATGCAAATAAATCAATCTAGTGTTGTATGTATTTATATGAGCATATATAATTCCATCGAAATAATAAACAGGTATCATCAATAAAAAGATGTAATCGGTGAAATTATCAAAACTTGGGAGAGAGAGAGAAGACTATAGACAGTAAATATAAACATAACGGATCAGTCGTGTTCGAGACGTGAATCAAGAATCGTGTTACATCTTGGGGATTACTCTTTCTTCTTCCGGAAATTAATCCCACAACGTGAATTCTTCATTTTAATTTAATTTTCATCGATATTATAAAATATAACTCGTGCGATCTTCGATCCAATATCTTTGATCGATGTTTTATCTTTCTATGGGAAATGAAGTTTTCTTTTTTCTGCAATATACACATACACATACACGTATGCACACCTTTGAAAAAAAAACCGGTTTAACGTAGCAATTGTCACGGCTGATTTCACTTGGATTTAGAGTGTGCCGCAAAATTGAAAAGCATATTGGTTGCACCGTACTCTACTACACTTTGAATTTTCTTACCACGGATGGTAGATATCGAGAGAGAGAGAGAAAGAAAGATATATCGGAAACAGGAATGTTTTATGATCATACACAACCTGGATAAACGCGTTACGTAACACTTGAACTATGATTATTGGCTTACATTGAAGAACACCGATAGACTTCAGAAACTTGTTAGAATAATCACACGATCGAAAAATACGAATGATTATAATAATAATAATAATAATAATAATGGCAACAATACAACAACGGTAACAAGACTTTCGAATTCTTTATCCCGTCGTCTCGTTTCGTTTCAATTTAAAAATGTAAAATGTTTTTCTAATCTTTCTTCTTATTTTTTTTCTTTTTTTTTTTAATTTATATAATCTTAAATTCATGTATATATATATATGTGTATAATTTTGTGGAAATTATTTATGGTACGTTATTGTGTTTAATAACTTTATAGAAATTTGTTCATTTGTATCGTTGATAAATCGTTTTGATCAGTATTCGTTGGAAAATATAATAATTCGAGTAGGCTTTGGCAATAAATTAGACCGCAGTTCTGTGCGGAATAGAAAGTTGTAAAACCGTTGCATTAAGAGAAGAAATGAACCAAAAGTGAAAGAGAGAGATAGATATAAACAGGAGATTTATAATATAGAATATATATATATTTATAAAAAAAAAAAGGAAAAAAAAGAAGTGGACAATCTCTCGCGTGAAAAATAAGCAACGCGTAAATCGTCTTCCCATTCTCGTATTCTTCCGTCTTGAGATTTAACACGTTACACGGAGAAACGAAAAGATTCCGTGCTTCCTCGTTTCCATTATAATGCGAGTTTCCATTTGTAATACACAAGGAGACTTCCGATTATATTATTAATCTCATCCGACTCTCTTCCTTGTACGTTATACAAAAATACATGTGTGTTTTTCTGTGTGTGTGTGTGTGTGTATTGTACGTATGAACACACGGTAATTACTAAAGCTTTCATCGAGATGAAGACGTCGAATAAAAGAGATAAGAATCACTCTCACTAGAAATCATTCTCTCGTTTTGGAAACGCGAAAAGAATTCTTAACATTGAAACATCAAATCTGACGAAATTCATTGTAGAAAACTTAGATGTTGTGTTTTTTATATTTGACTAATAAGCGTATACGATGATAGTTCTCAAATATAATTATCATTTTTATTTAATACGAATATCCTTGCGGAATTTGTGGATCTAATGTTAATTAAAAGTTAGATAAATGTTAAATTTAATAATTTAGTAATTAATTTCATGCTTGCTTAGATTTAGTAAGATTTCGTAAATAATACTTGCTTGATTCGAAATGAATCTAATTTTGGATGTATTTCATATAATTCTTTTTTTTTTATTTATTCTCGTAAATTACCGAAATTAATATGTCTTTGAACTTTCTTTCTTTCTTTCTTTCTTTTTCATATTTTTCTCGTATTAATTTATTTTAGAGATGCGAAGCGAGGTTAGCGAATGGTTGGCAACGTGCGTTGGTTCGCCGATATGTATCCTCTTGCTTTCTTGGTCTTTGCTAATCTATCAAAATCAACCATCCTCGACGAAGAGAAGAATAGACGTATTAACGGTGGCAATTCTTGCGGAGAGTCTCGTTCATCAACTTGGATTATTATTTTATGCTATCCTTACTTTAATTCGACCAGCCAATCATTTTGGAGGTAAGGTCTTTTTTTTATTATAACTATTAATTATATATATATATATATATATATATATATAATATGATACATGGAAACATATTACATATATGTGCGTTAATATTAATATAATTGAATTAATAACTATATATAATAATATATAATAAAATAAAGGGGATGAAGAGAAGAAAAATATTTCTATATATATATTTTTCAGAATTATGTTCAACTTTAGTTTGGATCCTAAATTCATCGAGCATACTACAAGAATTGACCTTGACGTCTATCGCAATTTTCGCAGCAATAGGGAGCAGAGATGAGAGGTTTAATTTAACAAAAAATCATTTGAAGTATCATTTGGTCAGTTTAAGCGTAATAAGCGCTTGCATTGGTATAACAGGCGTTCTCAACTTTGAACCAGACGTATGCGTATTTCTACCGCAAGAAGTATCCATGAAATATGGAATATTCGTTAATTCTTTAAGATGTTTACTCTTACTTGCTTCGCTAATTGGTTTATTGATAACAATATTTAAAAGTTTGTGCCGTACCCCAAAAGCAGAATTATTAAAATCTGTTTCGGATTTGTCCGAGACAAGTTCGAAAAATTCATCAGGTGCTTTCGAGTGTCATCCTCATCAATGGGATCCATCGAGCGGATCGTGTACCAGTGGTTCGACCAATAGCAGAGCTTGCCTACGTAAGAAAAAAATTCACGTCGATGAAAGTGGCGAAAGATCTACGGTTTACAGCATTCTATTCGTTTGTTACATCTTCGAGCATCTTCCAGTACTGGTGAGTCCAATCGAATCGATTCGAATCGAATCAAATCGAATCGAATTGAATTAAATTCAATTAGATAATCTCTATTTTATTGAAAGATAATAAGAATTGTATTATAATTCGCGCTTATTCATCATTACACGTTAAAATCGTTACACTCAGATTTGATAAAACTATTACAAATCGTTGAAATCTAATATAGCTAAACTTTCAATAATAAATTCTATTATTATTCCTGGTTATTGCGTTAACTTTCTTTCTATCTTACTCTTTTATTTAACAACTATTTGAAACGGAGATAATCGAATAGAAAAATAGGTTCCGATGAACAGTAAAGCATTACGTAATCGTCTCTTAATTCGCGTACTTCGAATCAAATCCATCGTACGCTTTCCCATTATAAACGCGCAAAGAATTTACAAAAAAAAAAGAAAAAAAAACTAATGTATCTCTTTTTTTTTTGTTGGTTTTTCTTTTCACCCTTATTTGGACTAATTATTATACTTTCGAATCTATTTTAACGAGCCTAAGGCGACGTAATTTGTTACCGCGACCGTCGATCAACGATTCAAAGAGAAAGCAAAAGACTCGTTGAATTAAACGTTTCGTATTTGTTAACGCGTGTTTCTTACTTATATATATANAAAAAAGGCAACTTATGAAATGTCTAAGACATGGGACAATACTATTGAGGTATTATATATTTTATGAGGTTTTTTATTCATATTTTTTTATTTTAATTTTTCCATTGAAGAAATATTAAATTTATTATTTTTTTTTTTTTCTTTACGATCCACTTGTTTCTCGTGAAAACATCAGAGTATAACCAATCGAAGAAGAGGATGTTTCGAGATCGCCTATGAAATTACATGCGGCACTTCGTGCGTAACCGCGTTGTATAATTTACATTAGTCAGTCTACTCTTCACTCTACTTTTTCGGATTACCGGAACGGTGCATCCAACAGAACAAAGTAGTTTTCATTCCCCCTTCGAATACTTGCCCATCTATATAACAATCTAGATTGCAACCGTTGCCTATACAAATACATCCAATAACCTGCAATTTAACGATCAACGTAATAAACGTCTATCTTTCTACTATTACAAATCAATTAACTTGTTTTTTTCTTTACAATATAACTGAAAAAAGATACATCGTCTAATATATATATATATTATACTAATAAGTATATTAATAATTATAATTAAACGTGAACAAAAAAGAGTTTAACGCGTAGGGTACTACAATTAGTGTTCGAATGAAAATATTTTATTCTTTTTTTTTATTTCAAATCGACTTTCTAACGCATATTTAGTTTCAAGGATATACATATATCTATATATACGTATTTCAAGCAAGCAAAGTATAACGAAATATGAAAGATAATAGATACAATCGTCGGGTAGACGTTTGCGTATAGTAGCTGACAATGAGACTATCAATGTGAATCGCACTACGAGCATAAGAGGATATTCGTGCGACTGAACTCAAGCCGGAAACGAGTCCGGTCGTGCCTCGATGATATATCCGGAAACGCATATTTCTTTTTCTCTCTTAATTTCTTTTTTTTCTTTTTTTTTTTATTTAATTCTTTCTTCTCGTCGCGTGTTTTTTTCTCTTCTTTCATTTTTTCTTCCTTTCTTTCTTTATTTTTTCTTTTTTTTAATCGTTCACAGGAAACCCATTTTAAAACGTGAAAGTCCGCCCTCTTCTATCCAACTCCCTAAAGAGGAGGGGGTGGGGAAGGGGGGGATCCCTCGCGCGTGGTCGTTGCAATTTGTCGACGAAATTCGAAAGTGTTAACTTAATAAGGACGACGACCTTAATGTACGATCCCAATTATGATTCGAGTAACGTCGTATGATTCGTCAAACCCAAAATTATTTTCTACGAAAGAAACTTTTCTTTTTTATTTCCCTCACCCCTTTCCATCTCACTCTCTCTCTATCTCTCTCTTTTCTCTCTTTCTTTCCGTGTTACTATCTTCATGTATCCCATTTTTTATTGACTTTTTTCATGAATATTTATACTAGGATACTTTACACGCATGACGCATACTCTGATTACATCTCGTAGGAAATCAATTCTCGCGTCAATTAGGTTACAGTAACAGAGATACAATGACGTTGTCTTTACTTATTACAATGTCACGAACAAGACTTTGATCATTTTTTTTTTCTATTCCAAAAGATGAATATTTATTTTTTAACACTAGACTCACCGACCATGCCAATTTGACTCATTTGTTTGCTATATTATATATAAAACTTAAATATTAATTTTTTGTTAAATGTATATTGTCTGTGTGTGTGTGGCTTTTAATATCATAACAAACTATCCTTCTTTGCTAATATCTTCATTCAAACAATATTTGTGTAAGTCTTTAAAAAATAATGTGAACAAAACATCCGTAAATCTAATATTAAATGACAAACAAATATTTAAATTGTGGATATATATGTGTTTGTCGAACAATGTTATGAGAAAAATATTTTTTCATTCGTAATGGCGAGAGTTGTTTTTTTTACGCCTATGCATTAAGAAGAGTTGCACATACGTACGCGTGTTTCAATCGTTCCATTCCCTAATTAAGGCAGTAGTTTCGATTTCATAGCACGGACCAGACTAACTATTACTCACGTAACCATCGGCCCAATGCACGCACACACACACACACGAACGACGGTAAGCGAAACAAACTTCTAAAAGTCCCCCACCCCACCCCCACCAACCCCATACGAAGAAATTTTCTTCTACGTGATCATAATTCTGCCGCGAACCTTTCCGTTTCGTTCGAGTTACCAAGCAACCAAAAATTTTGCAACTAGTCGATATAATATAATATATAATAGTATAAATACGAGACGTGTGTGTATATTATATTTGCGTGTCTCTTGAAAGAAAAATATAGCAAGTATTTTTTTACGAACAACAAAATCATTAAACAAACAAAATAAATCGAAGTATACGTATCGTTCATTTTGAAATTGATGCAAGTCCATTTTCTGTCCTTTCGAGAAAATTAAAAGTATGCGTATTTGTCAATGATTAAAAAATATTAGTTAATTATTTCAAGTCTGCCCCAATGTTTCTATTAATTTATCAATATGCAATTCGCTAATTTTTTAAATTTAAAATAACGTATACATTAACGTGGTTCAAATGGACTTACAACAATTTACATAATAAACGGTACATAATATATTATTCATCGTAAAAAAGAAGAAAAAAACATTTAAATTAACATAATCGAATCGAATCGAATCGATATAAATCCATTAACGATGATAAAAAAAAAAGAAAGAAAGAAAGAAAAGATTGCATTACGTGAGCTGGCGGCTTACAGTAAAATCGTTTTTTTTTATCAATCGATCTGTTCGTAAAGAGATCGAAAGAATTCGACTATAAGAAACGAGAACACTTTTATTCAAGCCAAGATGATCGAGAACAGCTACTACTATTTTGTAAGAAGTAAGAGAGATCGTTGAAGTTACATTGAATTTTCACCGTAAGAGTCTTTCTCTCTCACTCTATCTCTCTATCTCTTTTTCTCTCATCGACGTGTGTTGAGATGCGCAAAATTGCATGATAACCGCGAGCGTGTACTTTTGAAAGCGCGACCAACGAGTTTTCACCGTAAATTCCTTCCTCCATCGACCAAGTTTCCCCCCTCAACTCCCCTACCCTACCCTACCCCTCTCCCCACGCCACCTTCTTCTCATTTTAACCATTACCGTCAAAATCGAGCGACTAAAATCGAAAGTTGTGTGTACACGGTGTGCATTAGCGTTCCAACATATATATATATATATATTTTTGTTGTTGTAACATTTTCGTGAAAGAAAATGACTGAATTGGTAGTTAAACGAATGAAACTAACCACACGTAGAGGTGCACGGGGGTGCATCGACGCGTAAAAAAAGCGCACGGCGATGTACTCGCTTTATGCACGCGCGTGCACGCGTATGTGTACACGCACATGCACACAGGTTACAATTAACAGTACGTTTAATTAGCCGAACCCGATCGTTTCTTTCGACGTTTACAAATTCCGCTAGGTGAAAGCCAAGCAAAATTCTATCGTTCTCTCGAGGTTTGTTCTTATTTATTATATTTTTTTTGTTTTGTTTTCCTTTCTTTCTTTCTTTCATATATATATATATATAGATTTTTTTTCTTTTTAGATTAAAATCTCTCATCAAAGAGAATTTATTAAAGAAAATTGCGGAGAGAATAAATTTAAAAATTTTTGTAATTTCAAGCCTGAGTACGTACTAATCGACGTGAATAATCAGAACGAATAAACATTTCTTTTTTTCTTTCTCTCTTTCTCTCTCTCTCTTCCTGGTAATAGTAATAATTTCATTTTTCTAATCGTAAATATGTATGTTTATTACACGATAGATCAATTTTGTTACGTTACAGATATTTTCCATCAAGCCGAGTCTACTGAGAAACTTTTGTACCCCGCAAAATTTGGCAATGTGGTTGCCACTCGTCAAGGATACACTTTTACCTGTTTTCTTGGCGATTTTCGATAAAATGTTTTGCCGTTACGTCGCCAAAGTTTACACGAAACAAGATCATGCGAGAAGACTCTCACACGGTACTGTCGTCTTTTTTCCTTTTCTTTCTTTTTATATTTAAGCACAAAATTATAACTGTTTCCACTCGTGTATACCCAATTATTATTTAAATGGATTACCTTGTCAATGTTGAACTCATTTTTACGTTTTTTCTTTAATATTTGTATATTATATCGAACCTTTTTACTTCGAGCAAATATTTACGCTAACCTAAGCATAGACACTGTACTGTATTCTATTTCACTATTATAAATTCATGAAGTGTTGTCAAAATAATTTTGAATTAATTTTGAATAATTGCGCATAGAAAAATTGGTTAGTTTTAGCTCAAATTCAATAAATTCATATTTTAATAAATCTTGCTGTAGATAAAGGGGTGGTAATGTATGATATATGTAATATTTATTTATATAATAATTAGCAAAAATAATATATGAATTTATGTAAGGAAACGATTCTAATGAAATTATCTGGAATATGTTTAAACATTTTATTAAATAGAAAGAAAATCTAAGATGAATGTTTTCTCTTGGTATAAGAGAGTTTCGTAACATAAGAGTTCCTAAGACAAAACAGATGGTTTCCATCCTTTTCTTTAAAAACATGTTAAGCTCGAGCTCGCGTGGGAAAGGCGCGTAACTTTTATACTCGTTCGTAATACGCGTCGTTGTTCTACGTAAAAACATTATTTTCTTTGACTTCTCATCATCTGAATGAAGTGATTTTCTTTGCTGAGTGTGATCTATGTTTAAAAAAGACAAAAAAAAAATAGGAAAAAATTAAAATAGGACAAACAAAAATGATTTCTAGATAATTCAATATTTTCTTTCAGGCGGCGTTGATGGAAAATTTCGACATTTCGAACACGACGCTGAATACAAATTACAATTGAACCTAAATCACGGCTTGAAATTTCCCTTGACAAACGGAAGTCTTTATGGTAGATTGCACAATCATCAAAATAGAGGTAAGATTATATTATTCGGAATGAAATGTTCAAATCGAGACATTCTCTAATGTTTCTTTTTTTATTTTTTATTATATCAACATCGAAAAAAAAATGTAATTTTATTATAAATTGTTCTCGAAATAGTAATTTCGAATGGAAATGATATTTCTATTCAATAAATCGCAGTAAAAATATTGATTAATTTCGTTTAAAGGTGATACGAACTATATGAAAATCTATTCATACATTTCCATATACATAACTTACAATAAGATGAAAATGAATTTATCAGAATATTACGTACGTTTCATATTCCAGCCTTGAAAGTAATTCCTCGTATGCACGCGCAATAAGAAACTATACTGGAGGTCTCGTTTTAAAAAAAAACACGATTCAAAATGAAAAGTTAACTCGCGATTAATAATTTCGCGTTAATTGAAAAATTTTTCAAAGTAAAACAAAGATCCTTTTTTTTTTGTATTTTTATCGTCAGTTATTCTCGAATAATACGTAATTAAACACGTACCCGCGAATTATAGGATGCAATTTATGTAAAAAAAATAAATGGATGATGGATGCATTTGTTTCGAAGTTAATGAAAAAATGCTTTCACGTTTCTCCGCGTGTTAATTGAACTGAGATAAATATTAGGATTATATTAAAAAGTAGAAAATAAGTAGGTCGGATGTATATTTTCTAAAAATCTTCGTGTTTCTCTTTTTGATTTGATTTGTATTTTATATTTTTTTCAGGAAAAACGGGCACGATAACAATGGGTGTACAACATTATCCAAGATCGCAATCCGTAAACGAGGACAGCAACTATGCTTCGCTTCCTGCAGAATTATCATCGTTCACTAGTTCGACCTTCGAACCGCGTCAAGAAATTCGACATAACGAATCACCGAAAAAAAACACGATAGACGATCGAGCCGATCGATTGTGCCGAGCTAATGATAATTTCATCGAATTAGCTGGAAATCGTAGAAAGATCGGTAGTACAGACGTTTTCGGACAAAATATGGAAAATCTGGTACAATTGGATGATTCCAATTGTAAAAGAAAATTTGCCAAAAGTTTAGAAGAGATATGCGAAGAACCGCAACAACGAAGACACGCCAGAAGTGTTTTAGGATTGGATAGTTTGGTAATCACTTTGGATAACGGTATGAGAGAACAACAGCAACAAGGGAGAAATGCTCTTAAAAGAAATCAGAGTTTTGATCATGCGAGGTAATACTTTGTTTCAATTCGTATTAATAAATTAGTTGTTATGAAATAGTAGATTATTTTTTAAATCATTCAATCACCTAAAAGAATTCTTTTTCAAAATTAAATATATCTCTGTTTGTCGTGTTGTGTAGAAAAAAACAAATCAATTTTGGAAATAATTCAAACGCACAAATTTGTATTATTTAGACCATTTACAAAATCACAAATATTGTTTTCATACGAATTTCTTGAAGTTTCGTTAATATAATTAATTATAATGAATCGTTAGATTGCTTTTTCACGTTCGACAAAGTACCATTTTCGGTAACTTAACATTAAATCATTCAATTCAATTCGATATTACCTACTTACGGTGTATATATGGATACTCTATAAATGGTGAAGTTAAGTGTCGGTCTGATTTTCATGCGTTGAATTGAACGCACTACACGTAATCGTATCTATTATTCGTAGTCGTTATAGAAAAAGCTGTTTAACCAATTATGGAAGTTTAACAATATTAAATTTATGTATACGTATCTAACAACGAGTGAAAGCAAAGTAAGTAATTCGAATCGTGACTATCCTCAGTTTATTTCTCCTTAACGTTTTGCACGGTGGTAGCAAGTAGAATAGTTGTTCGATTTCTCGATTATCAAAAGTTAATGGAATCCTGTTGCTTTCACCCGACATTTATGTTCCATTTACTTTTTGATCTTTCCTTCTTACGCTAATAACTTTAAACCGGATTAATAAAACTAAATAAAGGGACAAAAGAGAGAAAAAAATATAACGCGTATACAGAGTGTCCGATATTTTTCTTGGAAAACGAACGGTATCAGCGTATTTTTGAATTGAAACGAAATATAAGATTTGAATGATTTATTTTCGTGTAACATTTTTTTTCTTATTCGAATACTTTGACACTGTTTTAGTATGGAAAAAAATATCAGGCAATCTGTACAATACATTTGAACATTTTTTTGTTTGTTAGGTACCATCGACCAATTCTCGATACAAGAACTTACGATTTAAAGAAAGATGAACACAGAAGGGAACAACAAAGTATTCATCAGAGACAAAATAGTCAAGAACTTGGAGATAATTACGAGACGTCCGATGACGAAAGCTGCGATTTAGAGAACGGAGACTTCGACACTATGAGTTCCTGTAGGAGCAGGAGTAGGAGTTGTTGCTCCGTTACAACGGTTGCTAACGACGACTTCGAGTACTTTCAACGTAAGGGGACCAAGGTAATTCTTTTACGATCTCGGCATTCTTTTCCAGCTCCATAATCTTTAACTTGTTATCACAATTTAACTTTATTCGTATAAGCACATGTATATCCCTTTTAGTTATAACGAAAAATACCAACCAATTTGATGCAGTTTTGTAAGATCTAAAGGAAAAAAAAAGAATACTACTAATCTTTTGTCGTGAATATATAATATTATTATTTTGCGAAATATTCTAACTAGGAATTTTATTGAGAAATAAAGGAAGAATAAATTATTAACAAATTTGTTCAAAATTGTATATACTAATCGGTTTTATTACAAATTATTCGAAAAAAGTAGAAAAAATTGTCATTTAAATATTACAAAACAATGGTAGAAATAGAAAATAAATTTTCAACTGTTAATAAACGCGTCGAAAATATTAAGCTAATAGTTCCGATTAGAATTATGCATCATGATACTTATTAACAAATATCGAAAACAATAATATATCACATTGTTCAATGCTAGAAGGAATATACATACATCTAATAAATATAAATGAAAAGTTGTCAATCTCTAATAGCCAGTTAACAGATTTTTCTTATCACTCGAAAATAAAAAACAAATTTATATTTCTGAATAATAATTGAAAAGAATCCTGTTTACTCTCTTAGGAAATTAGAATTCCGCGAAGATCGTTTAGAATCGCCTGCATGTTGTTGTTGTGTTGTTGTTAGTTTGCCTTTCCTTTGGTTTTGCTTACGTAATTAGTAATCGTGAGAACGTCCTGTATTGCAGGTGGAGCTGTTGCCCTCGAAGCGAAGCAGCGAGGTAAAGGTCAGCATGCGATCTTTCACGCCGAGGATCATAGAGAACGATACAATCGATCGGGAAGATAGAAGAATCGGTAAAACGATCATCAACACAAAGCCGAGTATACAATCGTATCATTTGAAGAAAAGAATTGGACCAGGCTTTTCTATGAACGATCTCGACAAATTGACCACCATCGAGAGAAAGTTTCCAAACTTGTCGATGGAAAGCCTGAAAAGTATCCTCAAAAATTCCGACGTTAGTTATTTGGACAATGGTGATATCTGCAGGCACGATATAGGTGGCTCGGCACCGGACTTTAAAAAGATCTTTGTCACAGAATTTATCTGAATGTAATTTCTAAAGTATCGTCTGATTTGTTTTTGTTTTTTTCTTTCAAATTTATATCCAATTGAAATAATATCTTACGTGAGGATTTTCTCAAACGCGAATCATTGCCAATGAAATCTTTTTTTTTCGAAGATTAAAGTTCTAATCTATTATTGGATTTGTAAAAGAAAATATATCTTAGATTCGATTCGGCGTGTTCATTCTTAAATCGAATCAATCGTGACTAATAGAGGATATTTATTATCTAAACGAGTGAGACAGATTATTTCGATGGCAGGAAGCCAAAATTCGTATATAAGAAACTTTGTTTTATACGTATGAATGTGTTATACGTATAGAATATACACGCGAGTACATATATTATATACGTGTGCGCTATGTAAAAATATTGTAAAATATATTTCCAGTGTATTTCAGTGACTTCCCGTAAGAAGTTAAGCTGGTAACAGGTCGACACGACGCGTACGATAATATCGCATTGAATTTGTTTTGTATATAGCTTGTACATTTTTTTATTATTATTAATATTTAACGCTATATATAAATATATATGTGTAAAAACACAGGCGCGTCATAAATTGGCGCGTGGGTGTTCATTCGATTACGTCGTAGAACGATCATGTTCTTTTGTTTTTGTTTCTTTTTTGTAACATATAATTGCGAATAAAAAGTCTCTAATTAGGAATTAAGCACGATTCTATTTTGTACAGGAAGTAAAAAAGAAAAAAAGAAAAAAAAGAACAGAATTATATCGATAAACGCGATAAGCTAACGTTACGTTTATTCGAGTTGTTAGAAAGTATAGCGAATTTAAAGTTATATGCATAAAAAATATATGAATATATCCACATTCAACCAACATATATGTTCAAACTTTAAGAAATGTTCTCTATAATCCTGGCTTATGTGATAGAACGACGTGGAAAAGGCCATTCATCGGTGAAACTAATAGAAAACTTGCAGAAACCAACGGAATTTTAAAATCACGCAATTTGTTCGGATTAAAGAGTAAATTCAATGTTTCTGGGTCGGATGGAAAAAAAATTCATATAGGTGGAAACGTAATGCGAAATTGCTGCAAAATAAGAGATGTTGAAATATTTTTTTAATCTGCTTTATACATCATCGTATTTTTTTACAGATTTATTTATATTTGGTCCATGACTACAAAATCACATATAACAACGTATATTAAATTGTACATGTAAAAGCGAGTCACGTTTAGGATTTAACGTTTATGTAAATATCTTACAAATTATTTTGCATTTTAAATGCAAATAGAACACAAGTCTTTGGTAGAAAAAAAAAAACAAAAAAAAAAAAGTTTAATCAAGACAACGGCATGACATTTCGTCGACATTCAACGAGAGTGCATAAAAAAAACCTATCCTAATCTATTACACATCCTGTGTCACGAGTATTTTTCTCGAGATATTTATCGTTCGTATATAATTAATTAAACACGTAAGGTTTTCTTTTTCGTAATAGCAATCAATGCCGATACAAAATGATAATCTAAATACATAATATTTGTTTCTTTTTATACTTAAAGAATTTAATTTTATTGCATGGTCTACTGACTAGAAAGTGCAACAACATTTGATAGAAATGCAACGAGATAAACGAATATGCATCCGACAAATGTATACAAATGTAAAGAAAATATTAATTGCTATTGTGAGAAATTGTCAGCTAATTACAAGTATTAAGAGGAAACATTTGGTTTCGTCAGATACGTCAGAGACTTTCTTCTTATCCCCATTTATACTAATCACGAGTATTATTCGTTGCAGTTATTTTACTATACGACTATTAACTTATATATTCTTTGGATTTTGTAATATACGAGCATAATACAATCATTTAATATCAGTTTGGGTGGTATAGCAATAGTAATAAAAATCTTTACTAGCCTTTAGTATCTTAAATGTCGCTATATGATAAATTTGAGAAAATAAAAACTGACATGGTCAGGTGAGAATGATTCATCGAAGGAAGGATGAAAGTGACAAGGATGGTGATCGTAAGTGGGGGGAATACTTTGTTCAATAATACTTATGCTAAAAAATAATGACTGGTAATTCGAGGATAAGTTATTAGATCTGAACGAGTGTTGCAATAACAAATATTACGAAAACGATGATGATGGCGAAGATGACGTAGAATATGATGAATAGGATGAAGAAGGTCGCGAACATTCTTGCGATTGATTATCATTCGTATAAAATAAATCATCTCCGCGAAAAGTAGATTCTATAATGGTCTGCATGTTGCACTTTTGCCCGTTAGCCTTGAACGCTGATAAAAGCCATTCCAATCTGGACCACGCCATAGGAGATCGATGATCTTGAAGCGAACTTTTAGGCAAACTGTTATCCCATTGTCTTGACTTCTTCTTCTCCATTGTCATTGGCATAGGAATATACTGTGGATTATCTAAATCCGGGATCATCTAAAAGAAAAGAAAAAAAACGAAAACAATAAATAAATATCTTTTAAAACAATCTTTTTTATCTTGAAATTGGGTTCGTTAACATTGTTGAGAGAAATAATAGAAATGCTGGAAGATCGATTAAAATGATAGGAAAGTTATGTCATCGTGTTGAAATAGGGATAACTGATGTTTGTAGGACGTGTAATGCAAGCCTAAAACTCTCTCCTTGTCTGAAATCAATACTCGAAGAGCATTACACTGTTACTAAGGATTCTCAATCCCCCTCGGATTACCAGATTCACGTCACCCCCGTGCGAATAAATGAGAGAAACAGAGAGAGAGAGAGAAAACTAAAGAGAGAAAGAGATAGAATGAGAAAAAGAGAGAAAAGGGAAACAAAAAGGAAGGGAGAAAACGAGCCAATGCGACTAAACGTATAAGCAGAGTTCAACGATCAATGAGAGAGGGAGGGTTGGTTGTTCGTTGGTAAAACGACGCCTTAACTACGATGTCACAATGGAAAACCTCTTTCTGTTTCTGCTTTACTGATGGAGAGATGAAACGAAACAGTGAAATAGAAAAAGAGAGAGAGAGAGAGAGAGAGAGAGAGAGAGAGAGAGAGAGAGAGAGAGAGAAGAAAAAATAAAAAGAAGAACAAAAATAGAGAGAGGAAAACTTACCGGTTTCTTCTCATCTTGGTAAGGTGGGATAGACATTAAGTAGCCGGATTATAATTAATTTCTCTCTCTGATCGATAAACAATAATATGTTACTAAATGTAAAAGACAAACACACACTTTGTTTTCTTTTGAACACTATAACTCTTCTTTCACAATCGAATTTCTTTATTTTCTCAATTAGAAAACCTTCCTTCCTGCTTGTCTTTGAAGAGAGAAAAGAAAAAAAACATTCAAACTGAATTGAATAAAACAATGAAAATAGGAGTATTATAGAAGCGTATACTTGGAATTATATAAATTCTCCTAACTTCACAGAATGATTATGTAACTACCAGTTTGATTCATTTTTGTTTCAATGCACTTACAATTAGTTACTTTCTAATAGAGTTTCTCAAATGTAAGCGTAGCTTTATAAATCGAACAAAAGACGTCCAACGACGAATGAAAATCAAAGTAAGATGTAACAATGGGAGGGGTTTTAATGAATAATTATTAAAATGACAAAAGGGGAATCGCAAAATACTATAAGTTTTAAATGTAATTGAATTATAAGTTATAAACAAAAATCGATATTATCGTGCTCGAAATATCTAGAACTAAAATCCCATGAACAATATTTATTAACAATGGAACATATTAGCTGACAATGAAACGAAAGAAAGATTCGATAGATTTATCGGATTTTTATTTTCCAATATATATAGATAAGAATTTATCACGAACCAGCGAAGAAAGGATTCAACCATTGACGAGAATAAAAGATAAAAAAAAAAAAAGAAAAAAAGGAGAACAAAAGGAGAATAAAGAAAACGAAAGAAATGGGAGAATAAAAATACATTCGATCGTTCATTGTTTTCACACACTCTCTTCACCCCACATTCCTAATATTGCGAATACGTTTTTAATACAAAAAAAAAAATCAATTATCTCGTCTATCGAGAAAAATGGATAACGTAACTTCATCGATAAATGAATAAATAAAAAATAAGAAGAATATATATTAACTAAACGATCGCGTTTCCAATAAAAACGAAGATGAAGGAAGGTGTGTTTAATTATCGAATGATATGTCTTACCTTGATCGCTCAGTTTCTCCTTCTTAAATTGACCTCGTTCGCAAAGGTCAAGGTCGTCCTTTCGACGTCCAACGAAGAAACTCGAGTAAACTCTTCGTAGCTTCAGCTTTATCTCGGAAGCACGGTCCAAGAGTAACTGAACAAGGGCAAAGTCGGCAGAAAACATCAGCTGGCTTGGCAGCGCTACACAAAGGGTGCTTTTCTCACTCTCACACAGAAATAATACAGCACACACGTGCAAATACACAACATGCACGCATACACATGCAACGCTCTTTCCCTTTCCTCCTCTTCTCTTCTCTTCTCTGCCCTTTCCCCTCAACCCCTCCAACACTCTATCTTTTCATATAAACTTTGTTCTAACCGAAGAAGGAACCCACATATGTTGGTCACATGGAAGAGAAAGAGAAGGGGAAAACTTTTGGAGAGAGACAACACACGTCGCACACGGGGCAGTGGGAGGGAGTGGGAGGGGGAAGTCCTCCAACTCTTTCCTTTTCACCCTCCTCGTCACCACCAACAAACAACACCACTTTCGGCTTCCGGTTAGTTGCAAACCGTTAGCTACTCTAACCGCTCACGTGCCACTGATTTTTAATCCTATTTTATTTGTATTTCTTTTATAAGTTATATATATATATACGAAATGAATTTAACGTATATATTAATTATTACTTTTTATTCCTTGACAATTTTTTTGTTAATATCGTTTATACTTTTCTTGTTCTACAAAAAAAAAGAAAATCACAATTATATATATGGTAACAAACAAGGTTAGTATTCGCGACGCACGTGTAATACAAAAAGAGGAAGTTTTATATTCGTATCAAATTCTATACGAATTAAAAACTTAAATTGAATTTATGTTAAATGCAAACTCACAAATTTAGCATGAAAGTTAGAAATACGTGAATTTTAATATTAACGAAAAATATATATTTTTGTTAGAAAAAAGAAATGTTCTTACGTCCGTTCGGTAGAAAATCGTAGGTCAAAATGAATCATTTCGTCGTAGCATCCCTACTATATTGGGTCCTAGTAAATCTCGTTTCTAAATTGTAAGGCTTTCCTATAAGATTTTTATAGTTTATTTTTCTCAAATGTTCCTAGTATACCTGGATTGTCCTTCCCCATAAAATTTATTTTGTTTATTTTTCTCAAATGTTCCTAGTACACCTGAAATCTCCAATCCTGTTGTATTTCATCTTAAGTCATAGGGCTTTTTTCGGTTGTTTTTTTTCCAAATTTTAGATACCAATGTTGCATTCACACAATTTTTTTAAAATTAGTATACGTATCTTAATTTTATCATGGCAAACAAAGATTTTTTCATTTTTACGTAGCATAATACAGGAAACTGTTGTATATTAGGGTTCCTACAAAATTCTATTCTATATACAAATCTGTGTTTTATATTAAATAAAAAAACTAATACAACAAAAGAAAGAATTGGATTTTAAAAATGAAACACAAGCTTACTATTGAAAATTTGATTTCACGATATTAGACGTCATATAAGGGTATCCTATTATTATAAAGAATATCGTGTAGAAATATGATTGAACGTTATTTAAAAGGGTATTAGAAAGACATCAATGAAAAAGAGGTGTCCCGTGAAGAATAATTGTCAATGATATGGGGGCTGATGACGGTCCATTGTACGTGGACGTTCAGGGAATCAAGTAAATTGGTTGAATTGCCATGTCCCAAGGAATATGTGTATACTCGTAGACTACACGTATAGATGCAGATGTGCGATAAACGTAGTCTCGGATTCGATTAAAACTAAAACTGGACGCCAGTAGTCTCCTCGAGGACGCTCTAACATGTTTCTTATCTTTTTTCTTTTTTTTTCTTCTTCACGAATAAAAATAAATGAAATATTGGATACATTGATACAACGAGTCTCGATCAATTTTACACACACGCGATGATAAGTTTATTATTATTAAAAGACAAGGATCGTACCAGGGGGGAGGGGGGAGGGAAACCAGTATCCGATGATCGAGATCGTTAAATATTAATCTCAAATGTAATAAAAAAAAGAAGAAGAAGAAAAGGATAACGCTATCGTCATAATTCGTCGTTAAACGTCGGTCGTTTAAACTACTACGAATGGAACCAAACGAAAGACAAAAAGAAAGAAAAAAATGAAAAAGATCGGGAGACAAGATAGTAAATTATACGTTTTCTACGTAGAGTGTTTTTTATTTTTCTTGTTTTTTTTTTTTTTATAGAGCAATCGTTATAACGTTGTAAGAAAGAAGAAAGAGAAACACAAGCTGCAAGTAGTCGAGCAAGAAACGTCATGTATCCGACAGCTGGCTACAGCATGTCTTTCGTGCAACGAAAAGAAGACACGAGATATTAAATAAGAAAAATTAAAAAACAAAAGAAAAGAAAAACGGCCAAAGGAAGCTGTAAATTATTATTATTTTGTTAACAAAAAAAAATACAATGCAACAAATACGAGTGTTTTGCATCGTCTATGGTAGAAAAAGAAAAGAAAAAAAGAAACACCATTTTACGATATCCGTTCGAGGGATCATTTTTTTTTCTTTTTTTTGGTTATTCCAACGAGAGATTAAATGAAATGCAAATAATTCTCCGTTTTAATTATTAATAATTAATTCGTTTGTATGATAATGTAGAAATAATAAATCGAGAATAAAACGCAAGAGAAAAAAAAAAAAAAAGGGGGGAAAAAAAAAAAAAAAAAAAAAAAAAAAGAGAGAGAACGATGAGAAAATGGAGAAGTTAATTTTCGTCTACCTTAGAGAATTCGTCAGCTGTGCCCATTTTTAATGTCCAATCGCGGTGTACTGCTGTTATATGGGAGAGGGCGCGTGCACCATAAAGACACACACGACAACGTAGTTCTCTTACAGCTGCCGGAAGTATACATCTGCCAGGATTCTCTACTAACCGTACGTTTGAGATCAGCCCCACCTTCTTCTTTCTCGTTCGTTTGCCAAAAATCTACGAAAATCTATCATAATAAAAAGAAAACTAAAGCAAGCAAGGAGCAAGCAAGCAAGCAAGCAAGCAAACGTACGAGAGAGTTAGAAGAGCTTTTACAAGGAAGAAGAATCTCCTAGTTTTCTTTTTTAAGGGGGGGGGGAATATAATAAATAAATAAGAAAAAAGTAAAAGTATAAAATGTTAGGATATTAAAAATTTGTACACGAAATAAAAGAATAATCAGCAAGGAAGGGAAAAACAAAGAAAATTAAATGATCAACGTTGTCTGTCAGTTTTTTGAGTAAGGCAAAAGGTTGTGTGATGCCACCACACCTTTGAAAGAAAATAATGAAAGAAAAGGAGGAATAATGGTAAAGAAGGTTCCTTTTATTTTTGAAAAACATCAACAGCTGCCCGGAAGAAAGAGAACGAACGGATCTTACTTATGGTTAGATTAACAAAAAATAAATAAAAAGCTCGTGCCGAAAGAACACCTTTGCTTCTTGCTACCGAGACTCGTGCCTATTGACGGTTACAACAAGTCAGTTGATTCTTTTTATATGTTAAATCGTATACAATTGTACAAATTTAAGATGTATATTCGTCCGTATATATATATTTTAATTAGAAAAATTCAAATCAATAAGTAAAGAAAAAAAGCTTGAAAATAATAAATCGAATTCTTCGAAAGGAATAATTCAACGAAAAATAAAGTTGATTTTCCGATCAAACTATTAATGGGCCGGTGGTAGGTATTTTGTTATCGAACAATATAAACGGGGGAGAAAAGTAAGTCTGAGCGAATCCTCTCAACCCTTTTTTCGTATTATCACCCCCGCAGCTGACGAAGCGTCGGCGGTTTACCACCTGACGATTCGACCAGGACAGCTGTTCGCTTCCCCTCTGCATCGGTCAACCACCCGTCCACTTCCCTTGGCCCTTCTCTTACTCTTCTGAAACTTGGTTGAGCAGCTCGGTGTATTAAAAAAAAAAAAAAAAGAAAAGAGACCTTCGGAAACGTTGCTGGGTAGAAAAAAACGTTCTCGTTGATCCACCAACTGACAGGATGTCCCACGATCGGAGTAGACTCCTATCCTCCATAACTGAAAAGTTCAATTTGATTCATCGAGAATTTTTGGTGGAAGAAATACATTTTTTTGTGTATTATCTTTTCACCTCCCCCCCCAACCCCTCCTTTTTCCAAAATTTACGAGAAATTGATATAAAAACGGTCGGGATGAAGAGGGGTGGCCGGGGGTCGACGATCAACGAAGATCAAGGAAGGTTTTTAAACAAGGTATCTTTTAGGGGTTAGGTAGGAGGAAGGGAGGGTTCGGATGCTAAGGGATTTAGCAGAACATCTCGTAGGTTTCACTTGGTAACGGTGGCCACGTTTGCCTTCGGCTTATTTTCGCCGTACGAACGTTGAAGACAACAAAAGTACCTTGATGGTGGAGCAGATGCATGGCATGTGCTGCTACGAGGCAACACCAGATGCCCCATTGGCGTAGAGGGATCCCTCCAGGCGTTCTCGCTGATAGAAGTTGCTAAGGGGGATCCTTTTTCAAATTGATCGCGTGCCCGATTCAACCTTTCCACCTTCCTCCTCCTCCTCCACCTCCTTCTTCTTCTTCTATCTTCTCATTTTTCGCTTTCTATTCTACGACTATTTACACCGTGTATCGATCCACCTTGAAATCCTTGGAAATATATTTCAATTATCTGGAAAGATCCTTTCGATTGTTAATTCGTATATTTATTTTCTTTCGATTAACTTTTAAACGATAGAAAGAAAAAAAATCAATGGTTGTTGACCATTAATCTTGTGGATCTTGGACAGAACACCGTTCGGGTACCTCAATTTTTGGATTAGTTTGTTACGATTCATTAGAGCCATTTTATCGTCAAACATTTCTTTTAATTATATTTCTTTTTGTTTTAAATAAAAAAAATTATAAGAGAAACATACATAGAAATAATTTTGTTCTTTGATTCGAGGATGCACTTACGATTAAATATTTTGATATTTCATTAAAATCTAATAACGTTCTGCTGAACAACGATTTATTATCCTAGGAAATTTTTCTTAAATTGTTCATTTAAATTATTTGTTATATTTCGATCGAACGGGGATGGGGTTGCACAGCTCACGAAGGTTATACCAAAATCCGGCCCCACAAAAAAAGGAAATAAATGAACGAATAGTGGAATTAACTTAGTTCTCGTTTATTTTTAGTGGTCAATGTTTATCTACAATGATTTATTGTAAAAGTAACAATAGTCGTGTATAAGTTAAAACGATATATCATACATATGTACAGATATGCCGATTTTACGATCATCCCCCGCCCCCTCCCTCCCCACCCCTATGATCCATCTCGTAAAAACTTTCATACGCCTTTTTTTTCCCCCGTGATTTACGTGATCGATCGTAGGGTAGAAAAAGAACTCGAATTTGTTTGTTTGTTTGTTTTACCGAAGCGAATGATAAACGATCGAAAAAAGCCATGATGCGTCGATCCTAAATCATTCGCGATGATATCTGCAAATTCTTTTCATTGATTTCATTTCACCGAATCTATCTCCGATTTGTTATTTTTTTCTAATAATGGGGGGATTCGATTCGTCGTATACGAGAAACGATGGTCGTCATTGTATATTATTGTTTCTAATTAATAATTTCATCGATAAGTGTGATTATTATTAATAGAAATAATTAACACGCTATCTATGATTTACCGTTCGTCGTTAAAAAATAAAACTCATACGATTAAAACGTGTAAGTTAATCGATGATAAAGCAAAATTCAAATCGACACATACGTAATAATATATTCTACAATAACAAAACTTCTCCCTCTCTATATATATATGTATTTTATTTTTCTCGAGCTCATTCAAATCGCGAATAAATAAATGAATAAAATAAGAAAGTTAGATAATTATTTGAAAACGAAAATGATTAAAAATCTAATCGTACGATATTGATATTAACGTTCATCGTTCTTTTTCATTTGATGATTTAATTAATCTAATCTCTAGTATCGGTTTATAGGTGTGTGTGTGTGTGTTTCTGTATCGATTACGTGTAATATTCGTGTGTAAAAGTTTTCATTTGACTATAGGTAATCCTAATAATTTGTTCTAGGTTTAATTAATTCCAATCTAGCGGACGTTTATCTACGATTCGCCACGACTAATGTCACACCTTTGATTCGCTTAGTTTATCGTAATACGAAAGTTTCCTCATCGAACTTTACGATGAGTTAACTCACGTCTCTCATCTGATATCAGCGTATTCTAACTTTGTCACTTATAGAATCCTCTTCAAACTTTACAGGATCGATTATATTGACATTCGTATTGACGTTCGTTAAAAAGTTAAACCAATACTAACGCATTCAAATGAAACGATTAATGAGAATAACGAAGATAATATAAAATCATCGATGAAGAATCATATATTTGTTGTAAATAATTCAATTCATAATTGATTGTCGGTTCGCTAGTTTAACAACGCATCATTAATCAATTATGATACTTATTGAGAAAAAAAGGAACCCAGAGAAAAAGAAAACAAAACAAAACAAAAAAAGAGAGAATAAGAGAGACAGATAGATAAAACAAATCCGTACATAACTTTAACGCTCTTCATCTTCAACTTATTATTCGAAGAAGAAACCGCAACGCGACAAACGCAAAATGAATATTATTATATTCTCTTGATATATATATAATTTGATAATTAAATACGCCAAACGATTAAGAAACGAAAAAAAAAAACAAACAAAAAACTCATCTTCTAACCTTCGTTTTATCAAAAGCGTATTTTTAGCAGCTCCTGTCCAAGTTGATTCCATCCATCCAACTATCCATCCATATCCATCCATCCATCCGACAGGGCCGATTTTATAAGCGTATTCCATTTCTGAGTTGACGATGAAAAACTAACTGCATGCATGCATACATGCACGATACAAAATGCAGTAGCGACGATATACCCCCGCGATATTTGTTACGAGGAAGTTGAGAGGGGAAAAAAAAGAAAAAGAAAAAAAGAAAAAGAAAAAAAATAAATAAAAAAACAAATCGTCTTCCTCCTCCTCGCGGGTTTTTTATCGTCGGGGGTATATATCCATCGATCACGGATTCGCGCACGATTATCACAATATGGCTGTACAACAGCCCGTACAATAAATGTGAATCGGGACACGACGATTTCTTCGCAACTCGTTAAACTCGTTTATGCTGTGTACTGGGCGAATACTCGTCCTCTTTGAATTTCAAGATGATTTTTCATCGCCAGGACGGTCGGGTGATGTGCCGGTAGTCCTTCGTCTTCCACGAGATATCTCAGAGCTTCCGTAGCACAGGCATCCCATCCGGAACCCCATGATCCAGGAACGTGATCTCGATGAAGGATCATCGATCTCTTCTTTTTTACCATTTCCTCTTCTTCCTCTTCCTCTTCCTCTTCTTCTTCTTCCTCGTCATCTTCATCATCGTCATCATCTTCTTCTTCTTCCTCTTCTTCATCATCTTCGTTTATTTTCGATCGACGATGATGATGATGATGATGGTGATGATGGTGGTGACGATAATGATGACGATTAGAACTTTTCAAACTCTCTTTAGATTCGAATACATTGAGTTCATTTGAATGGCCTTGAAATGAATAACCCAAGGAATATCTTCTAGTAGGAACGAATTGTTCCTGAGCAGTAAAAGGGGATTCACCAGTAAATTGACTGTTAGACATATTTAAATCGATTTGATTTCGAAAACGATTTGGTCCGAGGAAACTAGTATCTTGCACTATTTCCATTGTTTGATCCCTATCGTCGAATGGTACTCCTCCTCCCCCTCCCCCTCCTCCTCCTCCTCCTCCTCGTCCTTGAGCTAATATCCTCGTAGCTCCTGGATCGTGTTTCTGTTGTGAATATTTCAATTCTTGTGCCAACGATGCAGCCAATTGATGAAGTAACCTTGTGTTTTCTGGTCGATCGTCGTCCTCTTCATCTTCCACGTCCACTTCGACACCCTCGTCTTCGGAAGAGGATAAAAGATCCTCGTTGTCGTCGTCCACTCCTAGTAACGTCAGTAACCTCTCAGCAGCATCTACGTTATCAGAACAAATAAAGATAAATCATTCATCGAAACGATTTATTATATCGTTAGGTCATTAAATATGAAATATCCTATTACGAATTGATACGCGTAATGTTACATTCTCTTAACGATCTAATACAATAATAATTGTTTAATATACGTCGATTCATTTCAAATTCTTTTTGGATTATCTAACAGATTTATAGCAATGAATATTCGGTGTCTTTATTAGGGCTACGTTTTTTTATATTGTGTTATAAATTATTATTATAAATTGCATAAATATGAATTTGTTTTTGTAGAAATTTAATTTTGAAACTTTTGATTCACCCTAATACATTAAATTCAAAGTTATTATAATCAATTGTTCGAAGAATGGATTAATGTGTTATCGAAAATGATAAAAATCATTTGGAATAATAACAGACGTATGAATGAATATTAAAATTTGTTAAAAAAAAAAAAGAATCGAATCAATTGTCAAACGTAATATTTAGATTAAGTAGATCGAGGCAAGCAAAAGGGAACAAAAATATCGTTCCGAAAGAATAATGACGAAATTTAGGACGGAGAAGACCCGGTTTCAAGATCCTGTGGGAATTCTGCTCCACAAACGTTCCATGGGAACTACCTGTCGCGATCCACCCCGCCGTTCGTCCTAAGAAATCCATCGAATTTCGCACGAGTTTGCCCCCCCCCTCTCTCTCACTCTTTCTTTCTTATTCACTTATTCTCTCTCTCTCTCTCTCTCTCTCTCTCTCTCTCTCTCACACACACATACACACATATTCTCACACGAAGAAATTCATGTACGTAGTACACGAGGTACTTTGTTCGCACACCATCGTGAGAGTGTAAAGGGTCGACAAATGAGGGTAAAGTTCGGGGATTGAGCCCGGTTCCTGGGAACAGAAAAGGGGGACCTTGATCGTCCATGGGGGGTGGAAGTTGATCGAGTTATTTGGACCTGACTCTTCTCAGACACAAGACGAACCTAACGAAGTTGTCGTCTACTACATACTTACTCCTTTCAAATAACATGGGAACGAAGTATTACTCTTGGTGATCTTTTCTTTTTTATTTTCTTTTCAAAAAAGAACTTACCGGTCGTATCGAGTTGAACTACTTAAAAGACAAAATTTGCGGGAACCTTTTTTATATAAACGGCAAATAGTAGATTTACTTTTTCTCTACGCGCGTTAACAATCAATTAATTATTCATTTTATATTTTAGATCGCGTTTCATTTTATTTATATTCTGATTTTTCTTGTTAAATCGAATTCGAATTACTTTGTTCATCCTATTTAAGAAGAGGAGTTCGTTACGATCATCAGATCCGTTTCCATATCTCTCTCTCTCTTTCTCTTCATTCTTTTTCATCTCTCTTTCTTTTTTTATCAGGATTGTGTCTGGACCAGCCACACAGAAACGAGTTCATTGTTTTTTTCTCTCTCTCACACCCTGTGCCCCCCATCCCACCGCACCTCCTACCACTCTTTCCATCCTTCTTTTTTTAACCCCCCCCCTCCCTCGATGAATGAAACGTTCAAAAGGCGCCAATTCGACTCGTCCTGCCGGACGTTCCCACAGGGATATCAGGATTTAAATGTCCGTGCCTTTTTTTTTTTTTATAACATTCGCAAAGAAACGAGTAGACCGGATTGCATTTAAGTTGAGTAAATTAAATTTAAAGAGAGGAGGACAAGGAAAGGGATAGAAAAAATGATCCCATTTTTTTAGGGGGGGGGGGGTTTTCTTCTATTGACATCAATTTTGTTTCTTTCCATTCAATAAAAATTTGATCTTTCTTTTTTGCAATAATACGAGAAATATAAAAGGGATAAAAAAAATAGAGACGAAGGGTTTAAAAATAGTTATATCAAATGAAGTATTAAAATGCATACTCGATCGGGATTCGATATAAGAGTCATTCGAATGATTCAAAATCACAGACGAGTAAGGATGATTTTTTTTTTCGAATGAATAATGCAACGGAACTTGAATAAGAAATAAGAAATAACTTTTTGAAAGTTAGTTTATTCGACGTCGTTGAACGAACGAATAAATGAAGGAACGAAACAAGATTCTGACGAGGAGGAAGAAATTTGAAAAGAAACGTTGCGATTTGTATTCGCGAAACACATAAATAAGTTTATTCCGATGCAACAACAATAACAACACAACTATCAAAGCCATTTCCTGGCTACCGTATAAAGCAACAGTAAAAAAAGAGAGAGAGAAAGAGGACGGGAGGGGGGGAGCTAAAGAACACGAGTAAAAGCACCTTCAGCATTGGTTTCAACGATAACTTTGAATCGCCATTAGCATACAAAGTTAATATTTCAAAAAGAGGTCGGCTTATTTGAACGAGAATTCTACTTTCGTTTCTAACTTGTCGTCGTTAATTTCTATCATTTTCCTCATTACGTAAATACACGAACAAACCAACCCTATTTTTATGATTAATCTTAAGAGCAGAATTTTATTTTTTGCTTGTTATTGTTGTTGTTGTCTTAAAACGAATCTACAAGAGTCTAATCACCGTATAGCATGCATAGAAAGAAACTTATAAAATCAAAAAAGATTTGATTGAGTTGCTTGTCGGTTGGTTCGTAATTGGATCGCAAGCGGTTTAAATTAATGTAATCTCAGTTTTTCTCATTTTATCTATCCTTGAGTCGTTCCAACTACGTTACATTTGATCATAAAACAGTGTTACTATACTTGTCGTAAAGTTGTAATTTATTCAATCGTGTCGTGCGATCTCTATGAAAGTGTATAGTCGTATTTATGTATCAGTGAGTGTGTGTTTGTATATAGGTTTATACAAGAATAACAAATAAAAGGATAAAAGGTAAAATTGGAAAAGGAAAGGGAGAAAGAAAAAGGAAAATAAAAATAAAAAAAGAAAGGAGAGAATAAAGAAAAAGAAAATTCTTTTAAATTTTCTCGACTATACAATGAACGGGGGAAAAATAAAATGACCTCTACCCTTAAAACCATTTTTTCGGAATAACCCTGAAATATCATTTCTCAAGAATTTCTTTTATTTTCTACAGAAAAACGTTAGGTAGTTTCGTTTAGGGTAACATCAAATATCTTTACTTTTCTCTCCCATAACATTTAAATCGACAAAAAAATCTTGTTTTTCATGCGAATTCAAAAAATTGTTTTAATAAAAATATTTCTTTTATTTTATCACAACGTATATGTATAAATTCGAATTCGTGAGGGTAACACGATGAAATTATACAGAAATTAAAGAAACAATTCGATCGAATTATTCGTACGGACGGATGAAAGTTTTGACATTTTTAATAAACAGTTTTCTTCGATTTAAATGGGGGAAAATATTGCGTTGAGGAATGGTCTTGAAAATTGACGTCACAAATTGTCGGCGTCGTTCGTTCAATCGCAATTGCGTGATCATCAAATTTATCGTATCGCGTATCGGACCCGTATATGCAAGTAGAAAGGAAAAAAATAAGGTTGGTCCGAAATGACAGAGAAAGAAAAGCAAAAAAAAAAAAAGAAAAGAAAAGAAAAGAGTGCAATTACGTGATGATTACAGACGAGAGGAAATTCGGGTTGGTCAGACAAAGCGTATACAAACTGGGTCGCCCAATGAAAACTGATCGATCTCTAATAAGCGAACGATCGAGACGAGTAACTGTGATAAAACCGGAGAAGTATAGCTCCAGGGAAAAAAACCATAATCTTGATCATCTCTCAATTGCTGCTCCTGTTCGATTTTCAATCGAACCTCGCTAATGCTACGTTTTCTCGTCCATTTATTTTCAATCTCTTTCTCGTCTCTCGCGTTAAAAGAAAAAAATATATTTTAATTTTATACTGTGTGGGCTGAAGAAAAGAGATAGGTATTATATCCTTGGTAAATTAAAAATAATCTTGATTTTATTTTTAATAAAATTCTTTCTATAAATTAAACTTTACATTTTTCGATTCGTCAACGTATACGTGTACCGATAATTATAACAGTGTGTGAATTAAAAGTTAAACAAATTAATTTATGTTTCTTATTATAATTGTGATTTTCAATTTAATTCACAGAGGCAAATGAAAATTACTTTTCCGAGTATATCCAATAGATTTTTCTTTTTATTGCGACCAACTCCGTTCACGTTTATTTAATTTTTTTTAACGAGAAAAAAAACCAGTCGAGGATAATTAATTTCTGTAAAAAACAATTAAAATAAAAAGTAAAAAGAAACAACACTTTTTTTAAATCTCATTAAGAATTAATTGAAAGATTTGCCCGCGATTGCAACGTGAACATTAAAAATGAGTCAACTGGTCAAACTAAATGTATAATCTTAGATCTATAAATAATGAAGGAAGAAATAATAAAAAAAAAAAAAAGAAAAAGAAAGAAAGAAAAAATAAAAAGGAGTCAATAATGTAGCTTGTAAATAAGTCGACTGGATTTGAATATTGATCGGATATGCGACAAAGTTGAAACGCAAAACAAATTGAACGCATTATCCTTTACATAAGATCGAGATAAAATCTCACATGGAACGTGATAATAAACTGGTTAGAAAAAAAAATCTAACGTTAATTACTCCGCGATAATTTTGGCGAATGAAAAAATATAAGAAATATAATTTGTATTATTTGTTATTTTAATTACCTCGTATGGTTCGCGAGGAATCAGCAATGTTGGTTGCCAATTCAACGAAATCTTCTAGAGCACCACCGCCATCCCCTCCGCAATCCATCATGGTGTCCTGCAAAAATATAGAAAAAAAACGAAAGACCATAAAACAGTAGAATCCTTAATAAAAACGAGTATATTTGTCTTCTGAGATAATATTTCTTTTAGAATATTTATTAAAACTCGAAATATTACGAATTTTTTTATTATGACACAACGTAGTACACGCGAAAAATATGAACTTTCTAAAAAGAAAGAGATCTTTTAAAAATGAAAAAAAAGGAAAAAGAAATGAAAAAGAAGAAGAAAAAAACAAGGAGATGAAAAAGAAAAATAAACCCGAACGGTATATAATATAATATATTTTCTCGAATTGATTTTCTTTGCCACTAACTTTCCTAAACGTTTACGGTGGTGGTGGTGTAGTGGTGGACGAGCTTCGACTATTGTCTCCTTCGTATAAATTTCGAAAATTTATCCTCAAGACAATAGATAAAAGCTGCTTGGTGTGGGGTCTTTCACGAACAAACTTTGGTACAAAAGTTATATACACAGTGACCCACTCTCACGGGATGACGATAAACATGGAAAACCAAAGAGACGTGCTGCCATAATAAAGACAGAAAGATAGAAAGGCTGTTTAAATTATTGTACGGCAAACTTTACCGTAACTTTTTCTTAGCTCTTTCCGTGTGTATAAAAGAAGATAGGAAAATTATAAATTTGATGACATCGTTGTTGTTGTTAAAGTTATCTCTAACACTTTTCAAAACTTTCTCTTTGATTTCTCAAACAGGAGATTATTCTCAACACGTTGTGCAAAATCTTACAAATGTTTTTTTTTTCTTAATATACATATTTCGGTCACAAATCAAATTTTCTTTTCAATTTTTCTTTCCACGCGAAGATCATTTTGCTTTGATATTTTTTTAACCCTGATTACAAAATCTTTAAATTCGAATAGAAATATGTATTCAACGCATTCGAATATCATCGATTTTACACCGCGAACGTGTTTTATTAAAGTAGAAATTAATAATATTCGTGCCGAATAAAAGCATATCTAACCATATAAGTTGGTATATACTTATTATACACGTGTACACATATAAATCTGTTTTCATGCAATATCTTATATGTACGGCTTATCTCTAAGTAACATTCATTATTTTCTCATACTTTTTACAACTTATATGTGTACGTATACATAAATGTATTTATATGGAAAATTTTAATTTAATAATCCATAGGATTTAAGGCTGGGACCAAAAAACATGGTAACGTTTGTTAGAAATAGAAATAGAAGAATAATTAGTATAAGGGATTTCTTGTTTTCTTTTTCAATGTACACTCATAGATCGGTTAAGAGTATCTATGTGTTTTTTCATTGAGAGAAACCCATCAGGAAAGATACGAGTACTATAAATAGGACAACGATCGGAGAATGTTCCGAAGTATATGCGATTATAGTAGTAGAGTGCTGTGTGTACGTAGCAAAAGGGACACGTTTGACCACTTCGGAGCAGTCATCTCAAGAGATCAAGTCGATATCTCGCTAACCCGTTGCCAAGCGGATGTCTTGTAAAGTGCAGAACAACGATATTTCGCTTTTGTTAAATTCGTTGATTTTGCAGGTATATAAACGAAACAATGAAAAAAGAATACCAAACAAAAATGGGAGAGAAACAAAAAAACAGGAATTATTTCTATTCGATTCGAATGTTCCCCCATTACAAATTATTCGTACGAATTCTAACTATGGGGGAAAAGAAAAAAAAAAAAGGAAGTTAGCGAGTACGGTTGTTGTTGTTAAACAACGGTCGAAAGTAGAAATGCAGTTCGATGGCGATGCATTGAAACAACAACGTCGCTAGAACGCAAGATTTCCTCAAGGCCACGAGCCATGACGCCCAAACGAAGAAACCTGTTCTACGAGAATCGGAAAATTTTCCTCCTGGTTAGCGATCGCGATCGACGAGTTCGATTGGTGGTGGTGGTGGTGGTGGTGGTTTGTTATTAGATCTTCGAATAAGATTTGTCCATCATTTTTTTTTTTCGTAATTTATATACATACGAACGGAGGATAAATTTAATAATTGAACGAATATATTATTATAACGATAGGAAATAATAATACCGAGGAACGAGTGTGATGGTGGTGTGTGGTGAGGATGAAATCAATTGTAAGATTTGTATAATTCGATTCGTATAGTATCATAAGCAGCTTAATACGAGCTATCGAATAATATAATAGTTGTTTGCATAAAGAAGTGTATATGGATTGGAGGATACACACCGATGGGTAATAACGATCGCGAAATTACACCCAATTACTCGAGTTAATACGAGGAAGGGGTTAAAAGGCTTGCTATTTCCTCGTATAACGGTGAGGCACGCGTAACATCAAGGAGAAAGAGAGACACCGTTAATGTAATTATTCCCACCACCGTCGACAAAGTAACATCCCCCTTTTTTAATGGAGATTTAAATCATCGAAACGAGCGGACTACGCTCATTCGGAGAACCGTAAAAGAAACGGGGAATATAACAACGTTTCTTCAATCGTTATTTTAACGAGATTAATTCTATTCTCCTTTCGGTAAGAAATGAAATGAAGAAAGAGATGTAGGAATTATGAAAGTAAAACGTAAGAAGAAGAAAATGAAATATGGAAAATAACATTTTTAAATTATCCAAAAATTAGATGCATTTATTTTCAAGCTATTATTTCAAATTTATTTTCTTTTCCTTACTTTCTTTTTATCTATCTATCTTTTTATCTATCTATCTATCTATTCTTATTCTTCTTATTTTTCTTCTTCTTCTTCTTCTTCTTTTTCTTCTTTTTTCAACGATCTCGAACGACGCTAAGAAGAAATACGATTCTCCTTACTAAAATCGATTACAAGCAGGTGCAGTGCATGTTCGAAATAAGAAAACGAATATGGCTCTTCGAGAAAACACGACGATAGTCTTCTTGCCACGAGTCCTCGTAAGTCAATATTATTTGCGTCGAGCGCAAGATGAAAGAGATTTTTTCTTTTTTTTTTTTTAACAATACTCTTTTACATCCATTTACAAATGTATATATGAATATATAATATGTAGATTTATAAATGCATATATAAGTCTATTGCAGTTTTAATAATAGTTCGAATGAACAGATCGATAAATATACAATTTTTATCATTTGTTGTTTTTCTCTCTCTCTCTCTCTTTTATTTTTATAATATTCGAAATACCGGAATGCGTTAAAATAATGTTTGTATTTATTCCGAAATAAATCGATGCACTCGAGCCAAGTCCTCGCCGTTTCTCCCTCTTTTTTCTTTTTTATGGGAATATTTATGGCCGCGACGACAATTTATTGGATATTGCACCAAAAACTTTGGTAACGATTTTTTAATGAAAATACAAAAAGTAAATAGAGACAGAATAATTTTCGTATCTACAGCTAAATATTTGTCGAATAAAATCTTGAATTAAATTCAACGTTTTATCCGAACATTTAAAAATATGCAAAACCTTGCTAATAACCAACCACTCGTTGGACATTTATCGAAAATCATTAACAACTTTCGGGGGACGGGGTGGGGGGCTCGTAAAAAAAAGAAAAAAAAAGCAAGCTGATAACTTAATGAACAACTTGGTATCGACGTTTAAACGCGTTTATTTAATAAGATTTCGCGAAGTAAAATTGCATACATTAAAAAAAACACCGAAATGAAAGGGCAATGAAGTTTCACCGTCCTTCTTTTTGTTTTTTTTTAAAAACATCGTAAGTACACGTCCGGTCTTAAAAACCTTTCACACCAGAAAATTTTCAAATTGTATCGAACGCAATTCGCGAAAGAGTTTGTCGTTTCTTCGATCGTTAATGTAACGTTCTCGTTATATTTTCATATAAATCTCATTATCATAAAATTCTTTCTCTCTCTCTCTCTCTCTCTTTTTATTTTTCTCTCTATTTCTTTCCTTCTCTTTCTGTGTTACACTTTAAGAAAGTTTCATTACATATATATATTTAGTTTCATGCATCGAATAAACGATCGTTAACGCGATCTCAATCGACTTATTTAATTATCGTCTATACAATATAGTCTTCGAGATAATCGATTTATCGCGTGACTCGATTGAAAAAAAAAAATAATAAAAAAAAAGAAGAAGAAGTCTATATATTTTAAAAAACACGGCTATTAGTACTTTTAAAACTACGAGAAGAAAATCAGTTTGCTCGACCAAGCGTACAAATTTGTTAACGAGATATTCTTTTAAAATCGACCCCCTTTTTCTTGTTTTTTCTTTTTTCTTTTTTATCCAATTTCTCGACGAAGCGATAAGAAAATCGAACTCGTTTATAAAAAAAAAAAAACAACAACCCTGCTGCTCTTTCGAGTTTTCAAATTGAAAAACAAAAATAGAAAGCGGATAAATTGTCGAACGAGTTATGGGTATTGTTTTTTGTACGTTTGTTTCTACGATACTTTCTTTTGTTAGACAAATTTTCGAAAGGATTTTTCATACTCCGATGAAGAGACTTTGTTCCTAAAATTGTTTGTTTTATTTTTATCTTTTTTTTTTTGTTTCCCCCGAGTAAAAAAGAAAGAAAATTGGAAAAACATAATCGGCTTGGCAATGAATGTTACACGCGCACGCACACACACAACGGGACGAATGATTAATTGGAAAATAATTAGCCTCAACTTCTCGTGTCTGGATTTATAATCGATTAAGAAAAACTAACATTTGTATTCCCGTTGTACGTCGATTAATATTTTCTTTTTTCCTTGACCAATTTTCAATCAAAGTTCATCGATTCGATTGAACTTCGATTAGTCGTGAAATCGTTCGAGATGATTGAAGAAAAATAACGGTTGAAAAGGAAAAAGAAAATAGAGAAAATTATTTCTCGATGGAGAAATAAAATAGAAAAGAAAAGAAAAGAATAAAAAATGAGACCGCGGGAGATTTAACGATTCAATTTTTTCGCCCCGTTTATCGTATAAAAGTATAAACCAACCCCCCACTTCTCCTGTTACATAACGAATCGACATTAAATTTCATTTCAATTTCCACGATTGTATTTTAAAAAGCGAAACAAAGAAAAAGTAAATAAATCAAACCGAAGAAATAAACCAAACGGAATAGAAATGAATCGCAAAGAATAATTTTGATCTTTCCTTTGCGGGCATTGATGTTTCCATGGTTAACCGATTGCAATGATCAATCGTCGAAGGAATATAATTGATCGGGTTTACGTAGAAGGACTCTCTTTGAGAAATAAATATTATTATTATTCAAAAGATTTGTTTAACGTGTCGTTATTAAAATAGAAAATAAATTATTCAAATGTATATAGAGAGACCATTTAAACGGAAGTATACCTTTTTTCTTTTAAATTATGATTTTTTCGATTTAAATACTGACGATGTTCGAATAATAACGTTCGAGTAAAATTGAATAAAATGAAGAACACACACACAATTTCTAGATAAAATATAAATTTCTATTATTGCATACCTCTGACAGGGCGTCCTCCGTCATATCGCTGGTATCTCGCATGACTTCCAATGGAAACTGGCCAACGACGATCACACAATCACTCACCGCCCACGAACGTATGTAGATTTATTCTTATTCTTTTTCTCTCTTTCTCTATCTTTTTTTTTCTCTCCTTTTTTTTCTTCTCCTCTTCTCTCCCTCTCTTTCTCTTTTTTTTTCGTTCCCTTTTTATTACCGATCTACCTGTGCCTTTTAATTCGAGACTCGCGTATCAATTTTATTTCTCTTAGAATCGTATAAATCGAAACGTTCCTCCGATGGTAGGAATAAATCTAAAGGAAACGGAACAGGGATATATAAAAAAAAGAAAAAACTCGACCAAACTCGAAAGAGAGTTTAAAACGATGAAGATTACGACTTCGATGGATAACTACGAGGACACAACGAGGACGATGACGAAGTTGGAGAACAGAATAGAAGGAAAAGAACGAATAACTGGCAAATTTCTTCTTCTTCTTCGTCAGCGTCACGAACGAAGACACATCGTGTCTTTCTTCTTCTCTTCACAAATACATACGTTCTTTTCTCTTTCTCTCTCTCTCTCACTCTCTCTCACTCTTTCTCTCTCTCTCTCTTTCTCCGGTAACTTCAACGTTCGGATCGATTCGTATCGCAACGTGTTAACTTCTCTCTCTCTTTTTCTCTCTCCCTCTTTCTCGATACACGTATAGACTTATACACTAAAAGTTTATCTTTCTCGTTTTTTTTTTTTTTTTTTAAATAAAATATGCATACATTTATATATATATGTGAGTGTGTGTGTGCTGCGTGTACGTTATATATTTATATGTNAAAATTCGCGATAGTTAAAAAGAACAAATTGGGAAATAAAAAAGATAATGAGAAAAACACGACTTCGTAATTTTGTCTGTTTTTTTTTTTTTTTTTTTTTAAATAAAATATGCATACATTTATATATATATGTGAGTGTGTGTGTGCTGCGTGTACGTTATATATTTATATGTATTTACTTATATTGTACGTAAGTATGTATATCACACACGCGAGGTGCCAGCTTCGCGAATTATACGAACACGATTACGAGAAATTCTAATCTAACCAATACGAGAGCTCCTCCGACGCGCTCTCCAGGAGAACGTCGTCTCTCTGCGAGTTACGTCTCGCTGGCGTGGCAGGAACGTCGAAAGCTACAAATGCATACTCCCCACCATCATCACCACCACCACCACTACTTCACCCCTATCTGTCTGTCTGTTTCTCTGCTTTTCTCTCTCTTTCTCTCATTCCCCCCACCCCCCACTCTATGGTTAGACCATGTAAAACGTCGCAATCCAGAACTCTCAAACTGCACGACTAGATTCGTTCTTGGTTGCTCGTTAAAACAACATTCGAGACTCGATCTATCGAAACGCGCGTCTTTCGAAACATTGACTAAAGTTAATTCTTTTTCTTCCCACTACGTATTCTCTGTCGCCACTATCGCTATACGTACGTAGGATAAAACAGGACGGTTGATTAATCAAAAGACATAATAAACGCGGACCCGCCTTCCAATTTTATTTTTCTTTTACCTTAGTAACATCCCATCAAACATCCCTACTATTTCTTTAGAAACGTCATCAGTAATGTTAACACCTGCCCTTTATATTCTCTTCTTCCCCACATCGTTTGAATCTTCTCGATTTTTCTTCGTCGAAGCAGCAACGACTCCTCGCGGAATTTTTCGAAAACATTTCGCGAATCGTGTTTTTCCCCGATGATAATTCGCCAATCAAATGCGATACCACATTCGCGGGATTTTTCAAATTCGACCAATCGTTCGCTAGAATACTGCTGGTTAGTTATTCGAATAAAGGATTGAAATAATTGGTCAAATGCATGTAAAATAGTTAGAAACAGTTCAAGGTTTCTATGCACGTAAAAGTAGAAAGTTTATTTTTTATATTCGTTGATTTGACATAATTTATGAATATATACATTTTACATAAATATAAATATAAGTATTGAGTAATTATTCATATATTATACATATAGTCAAAAGAGAAAGAGAGAGGAAGAAAGAGAGAGAGAGAGAAAGATACATCTTGTTGGTCGAGAAAAAAAAACATTTATCAAGAGAAAGAGAAAGGTAATGGAAACGAGGATCACGATACTATTTATAATTCGAGTCGCATCTCGAGGAACGAGGCTTTCGTCGAAAGAATTTACGCGTACGCATTGTTGGCGCGTTTTTACTTCTATGGACATGTAATACAAGAAAAAGAAAAACAGGCGGAATGAGATAAAATAAAACTAAAAAAATTAAAAATAAAAATAAATACATAAATGAATTAATAAAAAAAAGAAGAAAATAATAGAAGAAGAAGAAGAAGAAGAAGAAGAAGTTTCAAGGAACGTTTCCGCGGCACCACAAAGAGATTCACGCGTCCTGCGCGCGAGGAGGGCCAAGGAGATGCGGACGAACAGCTGCTATTTCACCTGTTCGATATATTATTTAAATGCTTCACCTGCCGCGATCTCGAGATACCGCGAGATAAGCGACCAGCATTTCCTGCTTTCTTTAAGGATGTCCCGCACGATTCTTGGCTTCTCTCCGTAAAAGAAAACGAAAGAGAGGAGAGAGAGAGAGAGAGAAACAGAGAGAGAGAGAGAGAGAGAGAGAGAGAATCTCTTATGAAATCTATCTCGAGAAAGTTTCTTTTTTCTACATTTTCTTTTCCATAAGTTTATGATGATTTTTATTTACACAATTTATAAAATCTAATCATTCACGATATGTATACATTATGTTCGTCGTGCACGTAAAGAAAATTAACACGATTATCCGTTTCTGCCATAATGGGACTCATTTTATGTACGTATTTTTCAAAAAGATCAATATCATACGAACCAACTTTATGGTTTCGACCCATTTCTTTAAAAATTTTAATATTATCTCCGCCATTATAAAGAAAAGATGGGACTACAAGTCTGTACCATTCGTCGTCAGCAACATCCTCGTATCTTGGTACTTCGCAAGCACGGCATCTAAACAAAAATATTAAAAATTGTACATACAAATTTACAATATGCTATTAACACGTTGACCATCACGCGGATCACCTGTAATCTGGTCTTATTCTTTCAATGAAATTATGGGGGTCAACTGTGACCAGCGTTACTATATTGTTTTATACATTATCTTTGAATCATGTGTCCTTTGAAAAACATGTAAAATTTACTTGACAGTCAACGTGTTAATATGAGAAATAATATTTGAATATTGATGTTAATTAGATAGAAGATTACCTAATTTTAACATCGACCAATCTACTGGGTGCATTTTTCGTCATATTATAAATTACTTTGAGTCCGGACCAAACCAATATTCTTTCATGTTCCAGCAACTGAAAAACATATTGTGACCTATATATACATTGTTTTCAAGTAATGTAATTTTCTTCTACACTCAGTTGATTCAAAATCTTTAATCATAGATAACATCTATAATCTTCTTAATAATGTATGTTTGTATGCAGGCAAACATTGATAAAAGTCCACTTCAATTTAACGACAAACAAACTACTTATTTCATAATCAAATAATCCTGATAACGTTCAAACTTTACGACAAACAAACTACTTATTTCATAATCGATAACGTTCAAACTTTAATACCTTATCTTATAGAGATAATAAATAGAAAATATTACGTATTTGATAGAGCTGCCAGTTATCTCGACAGTGTCCCAGGTATTTTCAAAAGGTTGAACCATCAATAAATCACCGTAAGTAATATCTACAGCAAAATCTGTGATAGAGGCACGAATTCCGCCTGTATTGGTGCATGATATTGCTGCATAAGTCCAATATGTTTTGTTCTCTGCCATATCTACGTACTGAAATTGAGAGAGAAAAAGTAATAGGAAAAAGATTTGGTTTTTTTTTTGTTATCTTATAAGAGAATATGAAAAACTTTTTACCGCATCGACCATAGCGTCTGTTATGAAGTTACCCAAGTTGCACTGTTTCCCTCTACATTTAGAATCAAGGAAAACTTTAGTTTTGCCAACTTGTTTCCATGCAAGTGCATCGACATCCTTTTGCCAAGGTACCAATGCTTTTAAGATATCCGGATCTGTTCGAAAAATCATTGATTTATATTTCCTTAATCTTCCTTATCTTTCTTTTTTTTCTCAAACTTTTACCTTCTTCGATAGTATAATCCAAGAGAATTGGATTCCCTTCCCAGTCTGCAACTTCTCCTTGCTCGTCAAACCACACTGTCAAATTGCCGAGATATCTAACATAAGTATAGCAAAATCAACTAATCAAGTAATTTATAATTCATTTTAATATAATACTAAAGATAAATAAAATTATTTTAATATTAATTCGTGACTTATTAGATTAATGTAACGCTAGCTAATGTAAATTGACTTTTTGGCGTGACATCTGCGATAAGATAGTAACACGATGGATGATATTATACAATTAAAAAAAAAATATAAACCAATTACACATACTTTGTAAAAGCAGCTGCTTGTACGATAAGCACCGTTCTATTAGTTTTTTTTTGCGTTACTATCACAGGATAATCATCCACGGGTAAATCGATGAATGGTGGTTTCCCTAATTAATGTAATTTTACGTTAATTTAAAACTGACGCCAGAAACACTTCATAGATGTGTAATTCTTTCTATTTTTTGTTTTTTTTTTTGGACACACCAGAGTATAAAAAAGTATGCGAATGTCCTCCAACAATAACGTCGAGAAGTGGACAATTGGCAGCCATTATTCTATCTATGTCTAAACCACAATGAGTCAAAGCAATGATAATATCCACTCCTTGATTCTTGAGTTTTTGGGCTTCCTCGTTAACGGAATCTACTTCGTCCAAAAATCTCAATTTTTCTGTGTTCGATATGGTCTAATAAATAAATATATTGTGTCGTTAATATATTTAAACACTTTTTTTTTAGTTTTTTTCTCATTATTATTAATTGAATAATATAATGAAGAATATACCAACGTTCGTAGTCGATAAAATGACACCGATTATTCCGAGCTTTTTACCTCCTCTTTCGATGATCGTACTATTTTGATAAAGACCCTGGAAATACAAACAAAAATAATTGAAATTGTTGTATAAAAGAAAAAGATAAAGATAAAGTAAAAAAATGACTATGCAACAAACTTGAATAGAAGGTTCTTCGCTGTCATCGATGTTGGTTACAACAACAGGTGCTTTCATAGCTTTAAGAAAAGGTACTATGCCAGCCATTTTATCATCGAAATCATGATTCCCAAGCGTCTGTAGATCGAAGATACTTTAGATTAGAATGTTATTTCAATAATTATTCGTTAATAATAATTTACCAAAGCGTCGTGAGGCAACATATTCATAAATGTAGCCGTGACATTCCATCGATGAACATTGTACCACAAAGTACCTTGATAATGGTCGCCAGCATTTAAAAAAATAGCATTTGGTCGTTCATTTTTCAATTGATTGACAGCAGTATACACTCTTGCAATTCCACCAACGCAATCCTTTTCCTGTCCTGGATGGCAAATACCGGAAGTTGGATTGGTTTGCTGAAATCTTCCAAAATGATGTTCGTTTTGTTACTTTTTTTTTTTATGTTAGAATAAAAATCGTACGCGTATAAACAAGACTTACATATGTTACATAATTTTTAATTCACATGTATATTCACTTTCCATTGATTATGTAAGACGTAAATATATAAATAAAATATTACGACGGAGTAATCAAGATACTTTTACTTACGTGAAAAACGTATGATACGAAAGAAACCCGACGAGTGTTTCGTAATTAATTAGATAAGTAATTGTATATAATCATTAGGATCTCTTACCTCGCATGAAAATCATTCAAATGTATGATAGATAATTCAAAGAAATCGGTCTGTCCAGGATAAACCAATCCACGACCGGTAAAACCTGAACATGTTTGAAACAGTATGCCTATTAACAACAAAGTATACATGTTGCTTTCGACAACTGTACGACTGTTGAAAAAATTGATATTAACTAGTAAGAGTAATATAAATATTATTTAAAATTGCCAATCGATATATAATTCATTTTATTTACCTGATACTTGAAATTAAATAACTCGAATTAATTTAATAATAATAAAACGTTCCTTTATTTCCAAAATATATTTCCAATATATTTATAAGTTATATGAGTGTGCCTGTAAAAAAAATAATAAACGTGACTCCAACGAATCGAATAGTTTAAAGAAAATGCTCGCGGTGACTGACGTAAACGCGTGGTCGCTAGAAACGTATACACAACAAAATGGTTTACGAATATATATGAGAAGATAAAAGAAAAAAGGACGTTGTTATCAAGATATCATTATTGGTAAAGTATAACAATTTATTATATATTTTTGTTATTAATATTTTTTCCCCACACGTAAAAACCTACATTCTCATTTCTCCGATATTCATAAGTTTTAGCTTGAATCAAATTATTCGATCAAATGTAATCGTCATTTTCATAATTTATTACTAGCGTAATCGAACAATCGTTTATACTGACACCACGTAAGAAATATGATTCTAATTAGTAAAAGTAATTGTCCGTTCATAAGAAACTTACGAGTTTCAAATTTCGATTGTGACATTTCCGATACGACGATGCGAAGACAAAGTGTAGAGAAGATGAAGAAAAAAAAAAAAGAAAAACAAAAACAATCCCTTCCTTTGAAATTTGTAAGAAGACAGAGAAGAGAGAGAGAGAGAGAAGGGAAGGAATTGAGGAGAAAATTTAGAGACCTTGATAGAAAAATTGAAACTTACTTGCACTCTCTTACCTTTCGTAATGAGCATAACAATCGTAAATCAACTGTCAGCACCGAATGTTCGTTAAGAACTGTTTCCTTCACCAACAACGATACATCTTAACGCCTTTCATGGAAAAGCAAACACATCCATTATCACAAATATTCATTATACAAGACGTCTCACTAATTATCTATACGCTGTTATTACAATTATCTCGAGAACGTATACGTCGTTAGATTCGATAACGATGAATTATCTTTTTCCATTTCTTTTTGTCAAATTTTACTTATCAATCGTTTAAGAATTCTTTAATAATCAATACGATATCCAACAAACACTATGGAAAGAAACTTCATTAGTAGAAATGTAATAGAAATTTGATCGTATCCTTTGACAAGGTCTGTCATAGATGAATACAAATTTTTTTCACGAGTTTAACGATTCACACAATTGTACAATTGTACATTAACAAAATTAAAATACAATTACTGAGTACACCTTACTTATACAAAGTTACGATAAAGAGGATGTGTCGAAAGATTTTATCAAGCAATTTAAACGTAGTTTCTTTGTCTAGAACGAATACCATTGGTTATCGTCTACCTCTCACACTTACCTTTCAATCTACCAGTAAAAATAGATATCGTAACAATAAATCAACGCATAAAAGTCGAACTATGCGTGACAGATCGAGTTTTTACTAGAATCGAAGCGTTCGGATTTATACAGGTAAATCATTTGAAATACTTTAAAATATTTTCGAATCGTTAAATTACGCTCAAATCCTCGTCATTTATAAATAATACATAAAATTGTTACTAATAAAAAAATAACGATATGTGACGTATTCAATTATGAAATTATGAGCAATCATATGACCGTCCGCATTCATTAAACCTGTTTGATAAATTATCATAAACATACGTAAAATTGATCGCATTTGCTTCGCGTATTTAAATTAACCTTTTAGATACTACGCGCCACTATAGTGGCTTTCGCGGATATCATTTTTCAGGACGACGCGCCACTTTAGTGGCTTTCGCGGATATCATTTTTTAGGACGACGCGCTACTAATGTGGCTTTCGTGTATGTTATCTCTTTGAACGACGCGCGGTTTCAAACAAAAAACGTAATAATGCGAACGTCTTATCTTACACTACAAAAAGAAATTTCGAGAAAATACGGGGATATGAACAGTAACATTAGCTGCAGTAGATATACCGTGGACTAACCGYTTAGACTAACTGAGAAACATTTTCCATCCYACTGTAAATCTAAAAATTCTAGAAAAAYGTTACGAAATTGTATAGTGTGTTCCAAAAACGATACAAGGCGAAGATCTCGTTATCAATGTAACAATTGTGACGTAGGTTTATGTATTGTACCATGTTTTAAAATCTATCATACTTAATTATATTATTAGTTATTAAAGTGGAATGTTATAGTTAAAGTATGTGTAATATAATTTTCAAAAAATTATGACTTAATCATCAAATACTTTATTTGAATGTTCTCGCGCACAGAACGGAATTGCCCGCCACACTTTGCAGTGTTATATCAATTATACGTTGTTCGCAGCAGACTTGTTCTGCTGTCCAGAGAAATAGCCACACGTAGAGTTCTGCCGTATCTAAAAGGTTAATAAGTATGAAACCTATAACCAGAAAAATGATTAAAATTCGCATTGCTTTTCACATTATATCTTTCATTATCTTTCATCGATTCTTTCTCCTTTCTTATCAGTGTATTTTAAAACATTCGGTTATATAATCATGTTAAAATCATCGAGTCAATTGTACATTGGCATTGTTTTATCAATGCGTGATTACGAAAATCTAATAAAATACTAATAAAATTTGGTACTATCAAGATAAAAGAATCGAATGATAAAAACTATTCAGATAATTAATTATTTAAGCGATCGATCAAATTAACGAGCATGATAAAAAAATAACGAAAGAAAAAAAAATCGTATTAATTACTCAAGTGTTTCGAAGTGTTTCTGTTTAAAAAATTCCAAGTCGAGGAGAGTAAAGCAACAGGAAAGAGAGCTTCTTTATTGGCACATTGACAAAAGAATAATTCTATATTCGAATTTTGACCGTGGCACGCTTCGTAAGACCGTGACTATGATACTTACGAGATATATTCTAAAAGATAATAAAGAGTTTTATTACTGAAGGTTTGCTTATATCACCGATGACAATGTCAACTTAATATTTAAAAAAAAAAAAAAAACAGACAAAATTACGAAGTCGTGTTTTTCTCATTATCTTTTTTATTTCCCAATTTGTTCTTTTTAACTATCGCGAATTTTCGTTACCTGCGCTATGTGGTAAAAGAAAAAGAAAAAAAATATAATTAAAATAACATAGAAACAATAACAACAATATCGCAAATATTATTATCGCGTGAAGTATATTCAATTTCATCCATTAAAAATACAACCTTGAGTGCAATTGCGTCATGATCAATTTAGAAAGTATTTTAAATTCTTATCTTACAGTAGATACAAAGTCCATCGGAAGGAGTAATTTTAAAAGATCGAACGTACATAAGTATAACCCAACACTTTTTTATCATGGCTAATCGTCGACGATCGAAGGAATCAAGATTCGCTGGTCCCACTTGAAAAAAACCGCGAAGATACATGCTCGAACCTAAGAAATAACTTATGATCGATTTCGAGTGAAATTACCGAACGAAAAATAAAATGATGATGATGATGATGAGGATGAAAGAAATTCAAGTAGATATACTGTAGTATGCTTCGGCCAAAAATGAAAACACCATACTAACTCTCTTCGATATCGTTCGAGAGAGAACAAATAAATCAATTTTCTTTTTGCGTTCTTACAATTACATCCGGATATGATTTCTGAGTTTTTTTTGTTGTTATTGTTGTAATTTTCCTTTTTCCTTTGTTTTTTTCTTTCTCTTTTTACCTTTTTTGTTAGAATGAAAACAAGATTGCCATGAGGAATGACTTCGAGTTATTACCGATCGGTCGAAGATAATAAAAATTAACTTTAATGAGATCCTTCTCGAGCGATATTTTACAAATAACTCGAAGTCGTAACTCGTAAGTATTGAAAATAAATAAATAAATGTAGTCCGATACTTTGGATTTTGAGAGGATATGTATGTTCGATTATCGATCAATGTTAAATCTTTTTTTTATTTTCCTTTTTATTTTCGTATATTGCCATATTTCCTTATTCAATTTAAACGCAATATGCACACGACTCTTAAGCCTTTAAATCGTGTTATCAACCGTCGGATAAAATAACAATGACGACAATATAAAGATAAAAAAAAAATTTTCCAAATCTAAAGATTGAAGAAGACTTAATTGAACAACCATTACTTACATATATAAAATGTATAATTTCATCGATAGTTGTGCAACGCGACTGAGGAAACGTTTATCTTTTTTTCCGAAGAAAATCGATAAAACTAAATGGGAAAATAAAATATTCCGGCTTAATAATTTTCCTCGTTGAACGTAAATTATAGAAATTTAATAATTCGTCCAGGTTGCAAAACGAATTCTATATCATATAAATATTTTATTTCCGTGACACGCAAAACGTGACTAGCAAATGAAAATAACACGGACAATTCAGGTGATTTATTATCGAATAAAATAAAAATGTATAAATAAACTAAAACGAAAATAGGAATTTCTAGTTGACATAAACAAAAATTCTACGGCCTTTTAATTAATATAAACGAGAAAAATGACGACGAGTTACGTTTTCAATTAGAGGCATTCAACCAAATCCAACAAAATGCCTCGAGTTTTATTTTTGCATTAAGCGGTTTACCAACCCTTGAATGGTTGAAAAACCGAAAAGGGACTGTTCATGAACTAACGGAACGAGTTTGCCCCTCTCTTTCTTTCTGACGACAATTCTACTTGGAAATTAAAATACGCTATAATCACCACCTCCGCCATCTTTTCAAACGTCCATTATGTTCAGTCAACGCTCGTCCCTCGGCAAAATCACAACGTATCTTTATTGACTCTGTTCGTTTCTTCAAGAATCGCGTGTTTCTTTTCCTTCTTATTGTGTTAAAGAAAATTGTAATAAACCTAATCGAAAATCACACTTAAACTTCACGTTGTTCGATCATATACATATATATATGTATATAAATATATATATATGTATGTGTCGCAACTTCGATCGTACCTCAACTTCTTTATTACATTTTTCTGCCACGTGCTCTTTCTCGTTACTACAATTATTACTTATAATTAATCTTTTTTAAAAATTACACATATATCTCTCAAGAAAGATCAATTATTCTTTTCGACCGATAGGAGTATATTTTGTAAATATTTTGAGAGTGTTAGCAGCACGCGATACTTTAGTGTTTTATTTTAAGTATATGAAGAATGATATAAGTGAAAGATTAATTGAAATAAATTGAATTGGAATAGAGGTGATTTATCTATTTTTAAAGTAAGGTAAATTTTTCTTTCTCTCTTTCTCCCTTTACCTTTTTTTATTTCTAAAAAAAAATGAACAAGTGACTCTATTATCGATGTTAAATTTATTAAATTAACATGTATTCTATGGAACATATGTCATATCTTTGTTATATATTTGTATTACATAATATATGTTATATATCGAAAAATCGTATTATTTAAATATAGATATATTTAAAGATAAACGCTGTCAAAGAAATAAATCATTGCATTGAATTAATTCTCTCATTCGAATAAAACAATAGGTATTATTTATGGAATATCATAATATATAGACCGTGACGCTTGGCATCGTTTCATTCGTTTCTTTCCTATAAAATATTTTAATGAAAATGTAAAATATATTTTTGTATCATAAATGACAAATTGTTCTTCATATTTTATAAAAACTTTATTAAATCGTAATGTTTATCTTACAGAATAGTAACGAACTATTAAAAGAACTAGTTCTCCGAAGGTTTTATTATATCAAGGACAATCAGTTTACTTATTATTAACATATCGATAATAAAAAAACTAACAGCAATAAAGAAGGTCTCAACGAGTCGTAAAACAACATTTATCGGTACCGTGTATTTACGTTGCAAGGCAATTATTTCAATATTAATAAGATACAATATTAATGAGTCGTAACAATGTTTGTGTTACTGTTACGTACGTTTCCAACGATTTTCATACTACTTACGGTAACAAACGACGTGGTCTATGGAAATCCTGTATCTTCGCAGAATGAAAATGGGGGACTTACTTTCCACATTGTTCACACTAATGATATGCACGCCAGGTATTATTTGAAATTATTCTAATTAAAAATTTAAATAATAGAAATTACACAAATTACATTTTAATTATATATTAACGTAAACAGCAATTTAATCTTTAACTCTAATTATTATCGTAGGAATCTGTGTGTGTCAATTAAAATGTCAATTAAAAATAAAATCATACGATTCTCACACTTCTTCAATTAGTTCAATGTACTCACCAAAAAAATCTATAACGTTTTTAGATTCGAAGAAACTTCTAAAATGTCAGCACCAATTTGTCCTAAACAGGATGTCAAAGCAGGTAATTGTTACGGTGGTTTCGCCAGAATAGCAACATTGATTCGCCAAGCTAGAAATTCGTCCATACCAACGTTATTTTTAAACGCTGGTGATACTTATCAAGGTTCTGTTTGGTATAATATTTACAAATGGAAAATCGTAGTTAAATTTCTCAACATTCTCGCGCCAGATGCAATAGTAAGTATCAATGTCGAATTCGTTCCTCCTTATTCCGTTAATTATCTTGAAAGCTAGACATTTCTCTAACTTTGTTATCACGCTTCGCAGAGTCTTGGAAACCACGAGTTCGATGACGGTGTGAATGGTTTGATACCCTTCATCGAGAATGCAAAGTTTCCCGTTCTCGCAACTAATCTTGATCTATCGAAAGAGCCGAAGTTAAAAGCGACGAAATTAGCAAATAGTACGATCTTGTTAATAAACAATACGAAAATCGGTGTGATCGGTTATCTCACGCCAGAGACAACGATCCTATCGAGCACCGAAAATGTGATAATTAATGACGAAATACCAGCAATTCGTGAGGAAGCTAAAAAATTGAAGAAACAGGGTGTCAATATTCTCATTGCTTTGGGTCATTCCGGATTCAACGTTGATAAAAAAATTGCGAAAGAAGTTGAGGACATCGATCTTGTCATCGGTGGGCATACCAATACTTTTCTATATCGTGGCAAACAACTTGACATCGAACACCCAGAAGGTTTTTATCCTACTGAAATTATACAAGACAATGGCAGAAGAGTCTATGTTGTTCAAGCATACGCTTATACCAAATATCTTGGTAACTTTAGCGTTACATTCGATTCAAATGGTGAAATTACTCACATAGAGGGTAATCCGATTCTCGTAGATCATAGCATCGAACAGGTAAGCTTTCAAATGATAACAATGAATAATGTAGTTATATACGATATTTATGTTATTTTTAAAGACAATTCCTAACAGGCACCTGACATTATCGATGAACTGAATATACTCAGGCCTGCAATCGCTAATATAACTTCGATAGAAATTGGAAGGACTCGCGTATTGCTCGACGGTGATAGTAAAACTTGCAGACGGAAAGAATGCAATTTAGGAAATCTCATTACAGATGCTATTGTCAATTACGTAAGATCGTAATAAAAAAATGTTGCTATTATCGCTATTATTTCAAAGATACGAATCAATTATTGCGATTGCAGAATGCCCAGGAATATCTTGTCAAAGGAAAATGGACCGACGCTGCTATTGCTGTTCAGAATAGTGGAAGTATTAGAGCATCTATTACTAGAGACTTAGACGATAAGGTTAATATTTCAGATTACGCTCCATCTATTTTGATTTATTTTACATATTTCTGAACCTTTCCCGTTTTTTTATATAAAAAATATTTAGATCACAATGGGTGATGTACTTGGTGTTCTACCATTTGGCAATACCATATTCAAAGTTTCTATGACAGGAGAACAAATGCTTTCAATGTTAGAATGGAGCGTATATAATCTTCATTACAATTCTTCAGATAATTTATTTGGTGCATTCCTTCAATTTTCTGGCCTTCAGGTTTTATATAATATTTCTCGTCCAGTTAATTCGAAAGTTGTTTCCGTTAAAGTACGATGTGCCGCTTGTAATATTCCAAGTTATAGTGATCTCAATAAAACTGCAACTTACAATGTTCTGATAAATGATTTTATGTATAACGGAGGAGATGGTTACAAGATGTTAAAAGACCTTAAATTTACAGCAATAGGTACGGTTAATTAATTTTTATTTTAAATTTCACAAAAGGTCGTCGTTTTTATTAATCATTATCATGTTTTAGGTGTTACCACAGCAGATATGGTTGGTCAATATTTGAAAAAGTACAGTCCTGTTTACACTGGTGTTAATTGGAGAATTAATTATGTTCACGGAGTATATTCTGACAAAGTTAATAACGAAAGTAAATTATATATCACAGATACAGAATATGTTAATAAAATTAAAAACAAAGATACATCATCTGCCTCGGTAAAGGGATATTCGATAAGACTTATAATTTTGTTAACGATATCTATTGGATTGTTAACGTAATCGTTCCGTTGTAACGGTAACTTTACGTTAAGTTTGGCAGAAGAAGTACGACATTTGACAGTATTTACAACATAATTTAATGACATATAAACGACACAGTTTAATGACATAATTATTAAAGACGAAAAATATGACACGTTGGCGTGTATACGTTACCATAAAAGACCGAAATTGGAAAATGCCAAAATTCACATGTTTGCTTGTCAACACATACCAAATACGTTATATAACAACACATACCAAGACCGAATATTTAAGTTAATTTTTGTATATTAATATTTCGGACATACACAAAGCGACCACGATAACATAAATACAAGTCATTTACGGATAATTTGAATATCCTTTAACATTTATTAATTGATAATATATTTTTAAGGATATATTATTCTAGTAATTACTTTTCCACAAATATTCATTATCTTATTACACGTATTAAGTAACTTACAAATACTTTACAATGTATAATCCGTATTTGTATTAGTACTGGCAGTATGTTTCATTATTGAATTATCTACCTCAGAAAATATAAGAATTCGAGTAGTTTATTTTTGCAATGTATAATTTTTAATGAATATATAATAAAATAATTAGCAATGTAAACTACTTTTCAATAAATTCCATGAGCTATCAGTTACAGGACTATAAAGTTTTGATTATTTTCATTCTTTCACAAAATAATTAATATAAAAATATAAAATACCAAAACACATACAATAATTTATAATGAACTCATTTCTTTTTTTCTTCTATTTTTATTTTAGGAAAATAATGTACGTTGCCAAGCATGCTATAAGCATGTCTTAAAGTTTCCGTAATCTTACTAAATTCTAAAGAAGGATATAAAGAATGTTCATATAATGTTGTTAACATTTTAAATAAAGAATCTCGTATATCTTTTCTATCTTCAATAGTTTTCGCACTTGCAACACCAACAAAAACGATGAGATAATCGAGCATTTCTAAGGTTCTTGCAATGAACGATTTTCTAAGCGGTGGTTTTAACAATTCCTACAAAAAAAAAATTTACGTGAAAAGAAAAAATTGTAAATAGAATATCCCATAACTGGTAGTACAAGCGAACATGAGATGATTCTAAATAAAAAACTAAATTGAAAATGCATTAGTGCACGCTTACTTGACAAATATTCAAACTTATTTTTCTTAAAAGCAAGTCTTATATGAATATATATCTCATTCTGGATTGTTTACTTAGTTTTTCGTGTAGAATCACCCTCTGCTTTGTTGTATCACCAATTATAGGTCCTTTTGTATAATTTATAAGATATAACTGAATTCATAAATAATACATACATTGACAGTAAGTAGTTCAGGACTTGTACGCCAATTTTCTCGGCATGGTAAGCATTGGCAGAAGAAATAATATTGTCCTAGAAGTGCCTCTTGTCTTCTTGATCTTACTGTTACAGCATAATGAAAACCATAATTATCAAAAAGCTAAAAGAACGTAAAGAATGAATTTTATGTAGAATTTTTGTTCACAAAAAGTATAGAATGATATTACTTACGACTCTAGAATAAATAAATACCTGTTCTCCTTTCTTTATAGGATATACAGTATGCAAAACCATGGTTGTGTTTACAGAATATCTAATTACATTAGGCATACAACTGTGATTAAACAAACTGCAAAATGCCAAAGATACCATTCCTCGATTTTTAGAATTATGAACAAGTATTTCCTCTAACTGTAATATAATTCTAATTACAATATGGACAAAAAATAAGTAGAAATAAGTAGAAAACAAATAATTACATCATGAAAGTTACTAGGTATTAATTGTTGATGAGATAATATGAGACCACCAATGAATGTAATATCTTCATCTTTGGCTATTTCGGATAATTTCATTTCTTTTTTTTCTCCAAAAAACGTAGAATGCTTGACTAATAAATATAAAAGAATGCAAGAATTTACACCTCTTCTAAATAAGTCAAAAGATGATCTTTTTTCAACATTTTTTGTAAGACTATATATACTTGTATATTTATCACTGTGATACTTCATATTGGAATCAAATCCTTGTGTTCTAGGATCTTTAAAAAAATAGTTAATTAAAAATCTAAGTAAAAAAAAGAGATAAAACTATTATTTAATAGTTGAAAAGAAATAAGTTATAAATTGTAATTACCAAGCTGTTCGTTCCTTTCCTTAAGATGAAGAAGTTCATTTCTTAAAGATTGTATACTTCCAAATTCTCTAAGTGCTTGTAATACGAGTCTTATACAGAAAGAATTAAACATAGCGTCACCGTTGTCTGAAATCTCATACAGAATAGAAAATACACGACATTCTATTTCATGAAATTGCTCCCAGTGTTCAGTTCGGCATTTTTCTGAACAGTACATCGCAATATAGCAATAATCGCAAGGTATAAGTGCTAAACAACACTCCGTGCAATTTGCACAATGACTATAACAACGTATTGGATCTAAAATATAAGAATAACCTTTCTCTACAGCAATGAGTTCGCCAGGTTTAATATCGCGGGCAGCAACAATATGTCTCCCATATTCACTATTGTAAACAACAGAAACTGCATCTGATGCAGATGGAACTTCTACGTTTGGCGATTCAATTACTGGAATTTTTACTTTGTACTTTTGTTTAATTAGTTTCTTTTTAGTGTCTGTTTTTTGTGCTTGCTTTTGAAAACTTTCTAATATTTTCAGGTATTGATGTTTGTTAGGAGTCTCTTCTGGTAACTGTTGCACCATATTATGCATATTGGTATAATCATTCTTTATAGATTCTCCTAACTCCAACAAACACTCTATTCTTTGCAATTTTATTTGGATTTTTAACTTATCCTCCAAATCGATGGTAACTGCTCTGTCAATATCACTAATGCAATCTTTAAATTCTTTCATATAGAATAAAAGAGCAGCTCTGCTAACATAACTCAGACCAATTTGTTCCGATAAAGGTGCTCCATGAGCAACACTCTTTGTATATAAAATTAATATTTCCTTGAGATTCTTTGGATCGACGGGCTCTTTAAGAAACAAACTGTCTGCCATGTTTTGATACTTTTTCGAGAGAATATTTTCTTTTGTTAGTAATGGAACTTTAGGAGTTATATCGAACTGTACCATTACTTCGAGAACTTTTTTTATGCGATCATGATCATTGTCCTTTTTATTAAAATCTTTCATAACTTCTGAAACCTTATCCTCATCCTCAATACGCCTAGTTAATAATGAATGAACAGCAAGCATATCGGATATTTAAATAAGACGTAAGAAACAAATCTAAAAAAAAACTGTAATGCGAAAAATAATAAGTTTCAATTGAACTATTGCATTTTATTATAAATATAAATTAATATAGACAGATTTAAATAGTAAAGATATTTTATATCGATCTGTGATCGATTAATCAGAAAATCGATCTTAGTAATTCAAAACTCGACTGGTTTATTTTATTCTTTGGTTATATAACAGGTTATAAATAAAATCTTGTTTTATAGGACGAAATTTTAACACAACACATCCACTATGATGTAAAATGTGAACACCCGACAATGTCAATATATAGGTCACTATAATCTCAACAGATGGCACTGACTGTTTTGTTTACTGGTTATGCTGGGATAGGACGTTAAGTAATTGATTCAAATGAATTAATTGATAATATACATTTAACGTTTATTAAATTTAATTTAAACATATTAAATATGTATTTTTAATTAATCCACTTAAAAAAACAGATTGATTTTCAAACAATCTATCAATTGATCTTCGATTTGTTGATATTTGATTCGAATCAATCTAGATATCGATTTTTTTCGGAAAGAATCGCCCCCCCCCCCTATTCTATATATTATTGGATTAATCTAACTAAAACAATTTCTAAAACATTTTACATTCTAGTGAGAGACATTTTAAACGTAACTTAAAACCTTCTTGTGTTTCAACTGTTAATACTTTGACTACTACGTTGATCATATGTGACACGTTTTCTCCTGTGACGCCATGGTGGTCATTTGCAACCAGCGCGTTTGAACATTTACAATTATGAAAGTTGAATGAAAATTTACAGTTAGTGCATTTTGAACATTACCGCTAATTAGAATATACTTTAAAATAAAAAATGACCCATTGAACAATTACAAATTTTTATTGGAACATCGAAAATAAAAGATTTATTTCTATGAAATCTTGAATAATTAAAATACTACCGTGGCGTCCTGAGCGAAACATGTAAATTCGGTATGGCAGTCAAAACGTTAAATAGTTTTTTTTTGGCCATTGTATTAAAAATAGAAAATCAAAGTCAGCATCTTAATAAATGTTATTATTAGAACGAGTACAAAGTCCGTTCGCATCTTTTTATAAGAATACTAAATTTTCATAATATGAAACGACAAAAACAATTAATAACAGCCAAATTTGAACTCTATAAAAAATATTTTTGATTAACCATTTATATATCGTGAACAGCAAATAATCCCTAACACAAATGGACTTTTTACTCAATTTAGTCATCTCTACAACTTCATAAATAGTTCCGAAACACAGTTTTAGAATAAACTGCATTTTAGAATAAATTACGTTTTAGGATTTATATTTTTGATTATTCACACTTACCCGATTTTCACAAAGAGATGAAGAAAGGAGAAACCGACTAAAGTGTTAGGCCAATGTTAGCTTTAACAACGAAATAACGAGTGCCATTTTTGTTAGATTTGAATATTCAAACAAATGTCGGACGTACGAAAATTAAACGAAAATATTATACTCTCTCACACGCATCCAATCTCCAATATTATGTCTAGTAATTTTATTTTAGACATCAGATTTATTTTCGGAATATAGCTAATTGTAATTTAACATTCTAGCACCGATGAAATTTGGTCTTGGCGCTGTTGTACCACTTTGGACCACTTGCCGCCATTTTTAAATTACACCAACGTAGTACTGTGAAATTTCAAAAATTAATAGAAAAATGAAATGAATTTAAGTTTTGTATATGAGCTGTTTATTTTGAATAGTATCAAAGATCATTTTGTCTTTAAATTGCAATATTTAAGGGTTCATATATTAGCCTGTTTATAAAATAGTTTGATTTTTACGAATAAACTATTCTGTAACTTTTTCTCTAATCTTTATTTCTTGAATGAGACCTCGTTTGTCAAAATCGTTTAAGAATTATATCTGGTATTGTCCATGCCACCAACAATGTTTTCAATATTTTACACAGCCTTAAAGAAAATTTATGTATAATAATCAAACATATTTAAATAAGTAATAGTTATAACTAGACCCTTTTAAGTTAAAATTTCAAGATATTCATCATTTATTTTTCATCGCTTCAACATTAAACTTCTATATACCTTTACATCAATGAAAAAAATATGTTTCTTTAGAACTAATATTTTAGTAACATGTGTTAGACGTGTTATTAAAAGATAAATAAAAGTGTCAATATATTAATAATTATTATTATATAAAGATTGTATTATAATCGAAATATACTTAAATACATTAAAATAAACATATTTCGTAATTCCGGCAGTATATTGAAATACAATACCATAATTGCATACGAAATATAATATAATAAAAGATAACAATACAAAACATTTTTTATCTAACGAAATGTATCTTTTATATATCTAATGGCACTGATATGCAACTTATATATAAATAACCAGTAAAATAAATAAAAAAACATTAAGATATTGTCAATATTATGCAGAATGCTAAGTGTATATACTTATGTGTATATATTATTCTCAATATTGTAATGAAATTTCTAATTCTAATAATAATAAACGATTCTTTTAATGAAATTAAAATTAAATATTAAAAACAACATTGGTGATTTATTTAAATTAAATTTTGAATACTACAATATAAATAATTAAAACAGTCCATATACCTACATATATATATATATATATCTTGCCTAAATATTTATTATACGACACTAATTCTATTTACAGATTTGAATAATACCATTTAAAAAGTCGGATGTATTAATTTGCAATTAAATTCAAACGTACTTTATAAAAGTGTTTTACAAGAAAACAAAATTATTATTACATATATATATATATCTGTTTGTTATTGCTGCGATGAAAAGTATTTTAATTTTGTTATCGAATAGCATATAGTAATTAGCTTTCATTTGTGTTTTATAATAATCACTTACATATACATATTTATATATATATATATATATAATGAAACATTTATTCGTCCTATCAACGATATAAATTAAATTTTAGTTTCATTAACTATCAATCAAAAAAATCTAATAAATATGCCAAATATCTAGTTATAAATCTTTGTCACGTTATAGTAAAAAATATTTTTTTGTCCAAAATAGACATATCATATAGAGATGTAATTTTAATCGACACAATCGTATCAATTTCTAAAAATTTTTTCTATTAATTAATAAATATTCTTATTAAAGCAACAATTCTTAAACGTAATTGCACATTTTTTTAGGCTTATTGTTGCACAAAAAAATACCTTGTTACAATCGAATGTGGTTGTTGTTTCCTGAGGCTGCGCCTCTCACTTGTCGTCTACTCCTGATCAAACAAATGCAACAATTTTTTGTTACTTTAATATCATAACAAAACAGCACTTTGGTTCTACTTTTTATTTATTTTAATATAGTCAATTATTTAATTTCTACAATCCAACTTACCGCATAAATATACACGAGTGACGTTATAAAATAAGACACGTTTTATATGATGTTAACAGCATATATTTATGCAGCCGTCAGATATTAATTTTTCTTTACACGAATATGACAAAATAAAAATCAATTTTTGTTTCATTTCAAATAAAATTCATGCAAATGATGTATTGTAACTGCTAAACAAATCTTACTTGCACTACGTGTTGACAATGATTTAGTATCTAATTAGTTATTTGAGCCATATATATTTACATACATCTTTATATTATTTGCAATTAATAGTTCGAGTTATTTATTAAAATAGAATAAAGTAGCACAACAAAAGGATTACTTTCGAATTAGTGGCTCAACTCTTACTTATAACAAATTTTATATTAATGTACAGTAAATTATAAATTACTACAAAAAATACACTGTAGAACTTATAAAGTAAATAATATAAAATTAAATTTCATAATAGAAATAAAATCTTTTTATCAACATCACATTACAATAAATACATGTGATATTTTGGAGTAAATATTTTAAGATGTTATCCACATATATAAACAAAAAATAAGCATACGACAAGCATTTAATGCGTGTAATGAAGCATACGTCTTGTGAAAGAAAAATTAATGTTATGTACATATATTTGTAAAAATATTTTCACACGTATTAATGTTTTATAATGACAAATAATATATGTATATATATACAGAATGTCTAAGGTTTTTCTATATAGATTCATATTTATATAATATTTTTTCATATTTTTGTGCATAGAATATGCTGACACCACCATTTCGAAATGTGAAAATCTCAGACATCTTGTATATAATGTGTAAGATATAAAAAGAAAATTTAGTATGACAAAATGTGCTTTATCAAACATCCTAAATTTTAAAAATGATTTATACCCTTTCACAAAGAAAAATTTTATAATGTTATATATAATATATCATTTTAAATAATTTCCTGATTTTTATTAATATTCAATTATTCAGATAGTAAATAAATACAATGATATAAGCTTTTAAATTCTCAGATTACGGAGTCATCTTTATGTTTTTTACAGCAGAGATATAAAAAAAAGGAAAATAAATGAATATTTATCTATGAAATTTATAGAAAGTATCATTTAATAATTTAAAAATTAATAAAAATACAAAAAATAAAATTTATTTGAAAAATTATTAAGGATTCTTATATAAAAACATATAGTCTTACAATTTATGTTCAAAATACTAAAATAAAAATCTATGCGACTGAGACATAGTATCATTTAATCTCTTTCATATCAAAGAAAGAAATGAAAAAGCTATACGACTAAAATAATATGAAATTAAAAATTCGATATGAATTATTTCATAAAAAGCGATAGAAAGTGTATACACAACCAGTGAATTAACTTAACAATAAGTACACTTTATTTCATGTTGCTAGAGTATTATGTACCTTTCTGATTGATTAGTTTGACAAAATTATTCAATTTGAATATATTACATGTTATATATAAAACAATTTTGCAGGTACATAATATTTACTTTTCCAGGTTATGCAACAACAGCACAAATAAAGAACAGCACAATTCCATGTGAAAGTTTGACAGAAATGTTACCTGTAGAGATCACGTACAGCTTGGTCCTCTCGAGACGCATTTCTGCATGTATTCAATTTGTTTTCCAAAGCCTGCCATAAACAAATTTTTGATTATCAGTGAAATATTTCATAAATATTCTATAAGAGTTAATATCAAAGTAACTAAAAATAAAATATAATACATAATTTTAATCCTGCATAGTAATTATTTTTTTTTTAATGAAATAATTAATTTTCTTTTTATGAGATCTTTTAAATAAAAAAAAATAATAATATTAAATAAGAACAAACACAATGCGTTAATATAGCATAGTTTTTTTTATATTAATGAATTAGTTCTCTCTAGATTTGAAAAAGAATTAAATTCGGATACAATTTAACTGAAAGAAATGAAAAATATTATCAAAAAGTAATCCTAATGTAATAAAACGTGCAATACATCAATCTTAATTCTCAAAGCCTTGTAACAAAACATGCACGAGCATTTTATTATTTAGCATATAAATAGAAAGATATTGAAATACGAATGAAATACTAAGTATTATAAAAAAAAAATAATAATAATAATAGATATTTAAATATCTACCATCAGTAATGTAAATAAGCATAGAGTGAAAGCATTGGAGAACGAAAAAAAATATAAAGAAGAAAAACGAATAAAGACCTGTATTAGTAGTTGGAAAATAATTAAATGACGAAATCACGAAGATTGTCTGCATTTGGTTGGTCTAGGTTGTTGTCTAATACACGGTGCAGGTGTACAAACTTGAACCAATGGTGCATTATTTGGCGGAATAGTATTTGATTTTTTTCCATTTGGACATGTACATTTCACCCTCCTACAGTCCATGCAGACCCATCTGTCAAGCTACCAAAACACCAGCTACTAATAATAACTACATTCTTATAAAAAAGAAAAGATACTAGTATCATCAATTAAATAAAATAACATAGTTTTATGGAATGTTTGAAAAATAAAAAATATATATATATATATATAAATAAAAGTATACTAAATGCTCTTTCCCAATAAAATCTAATTTATATACAAGATATGATATAAACAAATACACGAAATTTACAAAATTACACGGAAATACAGGCCATGCTTTAAGCTTTAATAACAGCACTCATTTTTTTCTGTTACAAACAACTATTGCATACTAGTAACTAAATGATTGTACTCACCCCAACTTTTCGCATCAGGTCTCCAATCATATTCATTGCTAATATTCTGGTACATGGTGCCAATGGCGGATTTATGTTATTATTGTTGTTGTTGCCAATTACACCTCCAACTACTCCATTTCCAACTAATAGTAAATAAGAAAAAATATATATTACTTTAGAAATAAAACCTGAGCGGCAAATATTATATTAAATACAATCTAACATTCAAATAAACAGATCGAAAGCATGCATGAACTTGAAAAACTGGAAATACAAGCTTAAAAATAAATTTTTATTTAATATTTAGCAAAATTATATTTACAATTTAATATAATGTCAAATATTAATTTACTTATAATAATTTACAATTTAAATAATGCAAGGTTTGATAATTCATGTTATTGAATGAATAATAAAGAAAAAATAGAAGTAGTCAATTCATGTTTCTAATAAATTACTTTGAAGTAATAACTAATTAAGAACATTAATTACTAATTATTCTGTAAAAACCTAAAGTTTGTTTTATAGATTTGAGGAAAGTTTTTTCTTACTTCCAAAAAAAAGTATACGTCTAGATTTACGAAAAGCGCTATGAATCTTACTTTTCAATGATGGAGCTGTATTATTTGAAGGTATAGATTGTGAAACTAATGGACTGGAAGGTGGTGTATGCGTTTCTAGTTCGACTTGTAGTTTATTACTATCTACAAGATTACGAACTCTATCCGCTGTCTTATCGTTATCTGGTTGATGTCGCTCTTGTACTTGAATCTCTTGTTTCAAATCTATAAAATAATAATTAATTGAGAATATAGAGTATTAATTATGAAAAAGAAAGAAAAATAATGTACATATATAACTGTCATCAATCAAACCTCTAATTTCATCCATTAATCTTTGTACTATGACCTTTAAGCCCTCCTTTTCATCAAGTTCCGATTCAAGTAGAGCATTCTTTTCTATTGCCAAGTTAAATTTAGCTTCTATCTCTTCTTCCGTTACTCTATTTACCCTGTAATATATAATGAATCGTTAAAAATATATATTGGCAGTAGTATATTATCATATAGTATAGTTTTCAACAGTGTTTTATACTATAAGCAAAAGAAAAAAGATATCTGAACCTATACATGGAGTTCCCAAATTCAAATGTACTCATATGTGTGTGTGTGTGTATCCGATGATGAGAAATAATATTCTATCTTTATCTAATATTTATAAAATTTATATTGTTTATATTACTTTTCTTATAAGACTCATTATATACCTGTGCGCTCGTTCTAAATCATCATTTTTCTGTTCTATTTCTCTGATGTATTTCATCAATTGCTCCTGTTGCAATTGCAAATCTTGCGCTTGTGATTGAAACATAACACAATCTGAAGTTTGCTGATCTAATCTTGTTCTTAATTGCTCTACCTCTGTTGCAAGTCGCGAATTCCTCTGCCTTAATTCTCTGTTAGCTTTTTCTGCTTGTTCTAAAGACGTTTCTAATTCTTTCTCTAACATTTGAGAATTTTCTTGAAACTCTTCCAATTCTCTTTCGACATCTTCTTTTCTGCGTATTAATAAATTATTAATAACCATACTTATAATAAGTATATTCCATGTTACAGGAAAGTTTTTCAAATTATATATCGATCATACCATAATCAAAAATTAGGCTTCACAATGACAGTCAATGCATAATCTATATTTAGTTTTTATAATACAGTTTCTTATAACATGGATCATTTGTATAGTAATCTACTGCAGATAATTTTACAGTAATCTACTGTACTCTGATTATAATATAAGTTATGCATATATTTTCTGATTATCTATATTGTTTTTCTATAAGAAAATGTTTTACCTTTGATGCATCTGATGGGCAAGATCCATCCAATATTGAATTTCATCATCTTTAGACAAAAATTGAGGAGGATCAGTTTCCATCATCTTGAGAGTCAATAGAAAAAACCCCAGATATTACTTTTCAAATATATACTAGTTCTTTAATAGTCTTGTTGAGAGGAAGTTATCATTCTGAGAAACATAGTCAAATACACATATATATAAGTTAAAATACATTCAATTAAAAAAAAAGGAGTAATCATATTAAAAATAAATATATGTAGAAACTTCTGTAAACAATAAATTCTGTACACATCTTGTATATACTCGCACTGAACAGTTTCATCGATAAATTGTACAAATAGAACGCATTTGTAAATAATAGTATTGAAGTTAATCGACATTGCATTTCAATTTGTAATAAAAAGGATTTCAAGAGAAAGTACGATAATGGTAATAAAAATAAATAATAAAAATGTTAGTTATGTTCGAAATAAATTGTTGCTTGATGACGCTTTACTCATTAAATTCTTAGTATGCAAAATGTAATCATACATATGTATGTACATATGACATAAATTTCATTACCGTGCAATAAATGAATCACTGCTAAATACCGCAACGCATAAAAAACTGGTACAGTAGCGTATATCGTTGAAAAACTCTGAATCGTTCTACTCTTTTAATTATGCGCAAAATGTAGAGGTTAGCTCGACAAGATCGTCGAGCGAACCCTTGCACAAGAAACCACGATGTAACATTTGATAAAATTGATCGAATATTAATCGCAGAACGATATGTTTACGAGTCGCAAAATGGCAGATACTTAAAGCCACATACAAAACTAACGATCAAGCAACAGCAAACCACCTAACGGCCATAAAATACCTAATGCTAGACTACCGGCCATTAATTCGGTGCATTAGACCTGTGACTCCTATTCTAATCCGTTTCTAAATTTTACTAAACCTCTGAAAGTTAGTAACATTTATGAAAATTTTAAATATGAAATAATATCTTGTTAATTAAATAATGAATTCAATAAAATATGAAAAATATTTATAAACATAAATATTAATTTATATAATAATTAAAAAAATTTAAAGATCAAGCGTGTACATGGAAATCAGTAAATGGAGTAGGAATTTATGTTTACTCTCATGGGGATTCCGATCGCCAAACTCTGCCGCTTGGTGGCAGCATTTTACTAAGATCATTTAGCGCTAAATTTTAAATAGTATTTATAGAAAATTAGAAATAAAACTGATTTACATACATAATTCTCTTCAGAATAAATTATTTATAAAATTAAAAATTAAACAACACCGAGTTAATTGAATTCATCTTTGTTCTCTCAACTGTATTATTGTCATCTTTATCATGTTCAATATCAAAATTTTTGCTTTAAACGATCTTAGTACAATGCTGTCCTCTGGGCTAAACTTGACAAAAATGGTTCCTAATTATTCTTAGGGTCTCCAGATTATTATGGTATAAAAAATAGGTATACATGAAATCGAAGTTAGGTAACAGTCGTTACATAGGTACTCACCAAATTTTGCGAAGTGGAAATGTAACAAGTTTTCGCGCGTAAAATATTGGACTTATGAATTATTGTGTTTAATGATATAATTAATAGAACTTTTAATTAACACAAAATTTAAATATGAATGTAGTGCAAGATCTCACGAGACGTTTGGAGGGTTTTGGTAATTCAAAAAAAATTATATCTACATTATTATAAAAAATTCAAATTAATATACTATATTTTATATGAAAGGTTATATCTTTCATATTTGTGCATGTATTATATTATCTTGTCATGCAAGAATTCTTATGCGTACTTTGAACATACCATTTCATTTGAAAATAATACATATTTATTATTCTTTTAAATTCTAATAATAAAGAGTTTATAATTTCTTTTGTAGCATTTGTAGGCGATTATGACATAGCACTGTATCGTTTAAAATGCCTTCGTAATAATTTATACCGTGGAATATCTCCGAATATAAATGCACATCATTATGATTCAGTACCACCGGTTTTTGCTTGCCGTTTTTGTAAAAAGAAAGGATACGAGCAGATACTTGCCTTAGCAAACGAAGATGGAAAAATTGCTTTACAAGATATAAATATTAGTGAAAGGCGTGATACACCATTAGAAGGAGTTCAAGTATTGTACCATTCTTTAATGACGTTTATACAGAGTGTCCTTTAACTAATAGCAAGCAAGGAATATTTTAAACTTAGTTTTTCATGTAGAATCATCTCTTGCTCGTTTGTATTATCTGTTATAGGACACCCTGTATACTTTATTTCTTCATTTTATTATGTATACATAAAAAAAAATTATATGAAAAACAGTATATGGTAATTATACAATATAATGTTAATCATATGCTCCTTCCAGGCACATGGTAATGCGATTTTTGATGTTGCATGGATGCCTAATGATTTAAAATTAGTAACAGCATCAGGAGATCACAGTGCAATATTATGGGATGTATCTCAATCTGAAATAAGAAAAATCGATTTCTTTCAGGCTCATTTGCGTAGTGTTAAGACTGCAGTATTTCGCCCAGAAGATAAAGGTATAAGAAATATTAATTGTGTATTAATGCATGTATTTTATAGATGTTCTACATTGAATTGTATTTTTTTTTTTGTAATTCTTTATACCAATTATATTGATATTAAATAGAATTTATATATTTCAGCCATTTTTGCCACAGGTGCTCGTGATGGAATTATAATGATTTGGGACATAAGAGCAAGTCATAGTGGTCAACATAAAGCAGATAATTGTATACTTAATGCACATAGTAGCGTACCCACTAGTAATAGGCATCGTAAAAATCTCAATCATCTATCTTGTACGCAAAGTATTACCAGTCTTGGCTTTCAAGATGATAATTCATTAATATCGTGCGCTGCCGGTGATGGGTAAATAACTTAGAAATAATCGAGTTCCAAATAAGAAATAGCATCGAAAATAAAATTTAATCTTATATTAATATATTTTTAATTATAATAGGGTAATCAAAGTTTGGGATTTAAGAAAAAACTATACCATTTACAAAAAAGATGCAATGCCTAAACATTCAATGTATTATGCAGGAAATAGCCTAAAAAATGGATTTTCCTCATTGTTGATATGTCCAGCCAGAATTAAATTATATGCCAGTTGTATGGATAACGTTATATATACATATAATATAACTTCTTATGATGAGTACCCAAGTAATCTAAAATAATATTTAACTTTCATGTGAAATGTCGGTTTTAGAATACTTCATATAATTTTGTTTTTTACTACAGTTGCACAATTTTATGGACATCAAAATAGTACATATTATGTTAAAACTTCTTTAAGTCCTGATGGAAAATACCTTATTAGTGGTTCTAGTGATGAAATTGCTTATATTTGGCATACTAAGCGGTCTGGCGAGCCTATAGTTAAACTTAGTGGTCATACAGAAGAAGTTACTTGCCTTGCATGGTGCGCTGTTGGAGAAACCAAGGTATTTTAATGGTTAAAGTAAATAATAGAAAAATAACACTTTGTCTTACATAAAATATTACATTTTAATTTAATAATTCTATAGATAGTAACTTGTTCGGATGATTCGTGCCATATGGTATGGAGAATTATAGCTGACCATATAACAGAAAATGAAGAATCAGAAATAATAGGTAGAGCAGAGCCTGTTTCCAGTGCAATCTCCTTAGGAAATTTGAAAACTGAGACAACACCGACTACTCACGAGCGGTATACCTTACTACAAGATTATACACCTGAATCCTCGACATCAAGTGAGTATATATATATAGCATATATAGTATACATAAAATATTTATTATAATAGATAGATATAATAAAATATTTTATTCAACAGATAGTACGCCAGGGTCTAACGAATTAAATGATATGCATTTGGGGCATTTACATAGAAAAAGTAATAGCGGTAGTTTTAAAAGAACTTATACACAAATGACACTTAAAGGATCGTATTCGGACGGAAAATTGAAAACTAGTTTATCTCCTATTCACGAAGATTCAGAAACTAGAATAAAACGTGCACACGTAGAAAATCGTGGTGCTAGAAGGCTTTTTAGCCAAAGTACTGACAAAACTACTATTAGCGATAAGGGTTACAACTTCGATAAACCAAGTACAAGTTCATATGTACCAAAACTTCAAACTACCATTTCAGAAAATAACGTCTCAGAAAGTTCCAGTTCATCAATTCCATTTTTACCTATATCAAATCTGCCAAATTTTGTGATAGATGGAACAGCACCTCACCTACTTCAAATGTCTCCTGAAAAGTTCAAAGAAAGTGTCGATTGGTTAACAAAAATACGAGAGAAATTTAAAGAGCAAAAAAGTAAATCATCCGCGAATAAACTGTCTAGTTCTAAAGTGATTACTCCCGCACATAGAAGTAGTAGATCTAGATCAATGGAACCAAAAGGATGCAAAACTTCTTTGTCTCCCACTCCATCTTTACTCCATTTCTTTAAAGCTTATAATAAAGAATGTGATAAAAGTACTAGTCCTGGAAACTCAAATACTCCTTCTTAGTTATCTATGCAATGAACGTGATAATGCAATGAAACATCAAAGGTTTAATATCATTATCTAACAAATATCTTTACAATAGGATCGAAAGTATTGTTTTTAATACTGTACCTTATAAAACAGTATTCACCTACAATTTATAGTATAAATAGATAAGTAATTTTAAGGTACTTGCCGTTTTTATCGATAATTATAAGACTATTTTTTGATAATAATTCATTATTGTATATGAAAAGATAACGCTATAAATGAATTATTTTTTATACATAAATAATCAATATTTTTAGAAAATATTTATTATGGAGACCGAAGAAATGTGATGTGCCTTATAGGAGATAAAAAAGAAATATTTAAATATAATTTTTACTTGCAGTATTATCTACTTAATGTATTAACATCTTTCTCATTAGAACAAAATATTTTTATACAATTTGGAAGTAATTTCATTCGAACTGCCATTAAATCGAATTCCTCGTTATCGATATAAAATACTCGTTCATCAATCTGTAAAAAAGTATACGTTATGAATAAGATGTTTTTATAATACATTGAAAGTACAACAAAACTGAAATTAGAAATCATAAATTTTAGTAAAAACAAAACAAAACTATTTACCTTTTCAGGGTACAATTCAATGTCTTTTGCTTCAAACGAGGAATTTATTAAGGTTCTATTTCCATTTATTCTTTTCCAACCTTCGCTAACGAATGACATATAATCTACATCTTTCGGACCTACAAATGTACATCATATTAAATAATACTATATAATAATTTTGTTACCATGTTAAGTGCCAAACTTATTTTCCTTAGCTTTCAATCAATTTAGGCCAAAATGATCTGTCAGCCATAAAAAAATATAAAAATGTTGGCTATTGGAAACTGACCAATTGCCTGGATGGACAGTCTAACTGCTAGTTCATAGGGATCAGCATATAGCATTTAACATGTTAAATAATTTATTTACTATTGTTTTATATTACCTAATAGAACTTTTAACGAAGAATGGTTTTGATGTTCAGCATCATCTAGAGATGAGGTTTTTATATACAAGTCAGTTGTTGAAATAGGAACTTCATATGAAACGTTACAATTTTCATTCGTAATTTTACTATAGTCGATTACCTTTCCTGAAATAAATTAAAAAATATGTATATACAGATCCAATATGCTTAGTGTAAAGAACACATTACGATAATTAATTTTCTCTTATATACTATTGTTAATTTTTATCCTGATAAATTGTGATAAGTGTATTACTGGGATTCGTAGGAACGTTTATTTGAATTTAGCATTGATCGAGTTATGTTTACCTGACGCTAATATTGTTTTCCTAGGCAAAAATGCATGCCACCACCTTTTATTTGTATGTAAAGATTGATCAATATTTGTATTTGCATAGCATTGAGAACAACCCGCACAAGGTTTAGTATATTTCAATAACCCGTTACAATTCCAGTTTAAGTTATTTTTGTAACCATTAAATATGTAAGTTGCATATCTATAATAAGATTTTAAAGTTAATGTAAATCAATGGAAACAAAAAATATTACTTTAAAGTGTGAATCATACTTTCTTAAATTTTTTCCAAGCCAATATTTATTTCTTCGTGCATATGCATCTTGCCAGGCACCCCATTCTATTGTTCCAGCTGCATAGACCGGTTTTAATTCATTTTCAGAATCTTCCTTGAATATCGATATAATAGAAATGAATAAATTTTATAAATGTAAATTGTGTGAATATGAGAGTGAGTGATAAAGATAAAATTTCAATAGTTATTAGGATATCATAATCTGTGTTCAATTTTTAGCTGCAAAATTGAATAAATCTATTCTCTTATAACTTACTTTAAGCGGATAAACTTCAATAATATCTATGAACTTTTGGTTGCCTTTTATAACAGCCATTGTAGCTTCTGTCATCTCACGTATTTCAAGTAAATTATTAAAGCGCAAAGAATTTAAAGCATGGGAAACAGTATTTGTTTCTCCCAGTGGTAAGACACCGATTGGGCATTGTTTCACAGAATGAAAATTATTTTTGTATCTTCTCATCAAACCGGTTATAACATCAGATAAAGTACCGTCTCCTCCTGCCACAATTATAGCATCGGTTAGAATGTCTAAATTTTCTACTATACTACGGGTATGACTTGTTGATTCAGTTTGTACAACTGTTACTGCAATTCCAGCTAAATGTAACAATGGCTCGCAATAATTCTCGAATAACTTTTTTGCTTTCCTGAAAATTAATAAATCAATGTATTAGAAATGACTTTTTAGGATGCAGTAGTAGTTTTATGTTCTCAACTTAAACCTGTTTTTAGCAGCAGGATTTAAAATAACTGTGACATGGCGAGGTTTTATGGTTGTGGGACAAGGTTCGTTCCCATATTTGACTACATCCTCACAATATTGTCTCATCAACATTTGAGTGCTAAAAATACAACCATTAAAAAATCATTCATTAAAATATAATTATTATATTATGAAACATTATTGAATGATTTAAATTGCTTATAATTATCAAAATATCATACTCGTATTTCTCTTTACTGTATGAAACTCCATATGATAAAACAGCAGCCCCAAATGCAGATTTTTTCCAATTATTTCTTATCGTTTTGAAAAATTTCAGTACTCTGGCCATTTTTGATTCTATGTATTAAGAAGAAAAAAGATTTCATATTATTAATAAATATAAATGTAATACACATTCATTTTCTTTATATGGATATAATGATAAATTAATTATACAACATTTTAGTGTAAATTTAATGTACTTACATGTATATTTGTCACAAAATTGTATACATTTAAAGGTAGATGGATTGAGGTTAACTTTTTACATTACGAATCGATATTTAATATTTTTTATATGTTACAATAAATTTTATTAACAATAATCAAGTATCATTGATATACGAACATTTTTCTATTCATTATATAATTAATATATATGAACTGATTTATATAAAATATATAAAATAACGTGTATGACTGACCGTAGTTTTACTTAAAGAACGCATACATAGAGACATATACTATATATATAAAGTATTAGCGTTAATATAAAAGTGAAAATTACGAAAAGATGACATTAAATTTAGATTAAATTAAATTTCAGACTAAAAAGATTGACAATAATTTATAAAGATAAATATCGCATAATAAATATATTCAATAAAATAAATATTAAAATAATTAATCAATTTCGCGCTTAATCGTTGTTTAAAAGATTGCAGCGAGCGTAGCGGCATATGGCAGAATTATATCATTGGAGCATTTCCAGCAAGTACTTTCAAAAGCTTGTAATTCATGTAGTATTCAGAAGAGGTCAGTTCAAGCGTTGAGCTCGGTCATACAATACGAAGCTGATCAAAAACGTACAGAGTTTCCAGGAGGGCGGTCGTGCCACGATCAAAGAGAAAGAGAGAGAGAACCTTTCTTCCCCCACGGTTTAACACATACAAATTTCTTGATTTGTACGACGGTATACTGGATTTCAACGCGCGTCACGAGAGAAACGTTATTCGTAATAGAATAATGTCGCGTCGTGTGATTTGACAGTGAAGGAAACAATCGAATGGGAAAAGTGCCTCGACATTTAGTGGTTCGTAATTTAAGATCTTCAGTTCTAAACAAGTATACTCCTTTTCGAATACCTCACATCTCTCCGTTAGATTTCGTTTCTTTTTTTTTTCTATCATCTCGGATTAACGACAACGACAAAGTATTTTTCAATCTTAAATCATCGACGAACAAGAATGAGAGAGATTTTTTATCGTTCCTGAAAAAAAAAGGGATAAAAAGTCTATCGTCGAAAACAGTATTCGAGACATTGATCGACAAGCGCGGTATAAACTCTTACAGGCGGTATTGGCCGGTATAGTTGATATATGTATAATATATACACACATATATATGTATTATAGGCGATTATGTTTAAAACTCGAATGAAACAGGGCATCGAAATTTATTTCCTTAAATTTCAAAATCTGATTTTTTTTTTGTTTCTAATTACATAAAATTATTCCTAATTCTTTCAGTAGGATCATTCGCGAATTCGGTTTCGCATCGAACGGAGCACCGACATTTTTGTTCTAAAATCTTATTTTTTATAACTATACAATTGATTTCTAGTTATCTTAGTAGGATCATCGTTTTAACGATCGCGTCAAAAAAAATCGAAGGAAAAGTTAATTTATTAAAAAACTTTACATGACGCGTTTCATTCCGTATAGTAAAAAAATATATAAGATTAATTATTTACAAAAGAAACGAAACATTTATACAAAAGTAAAACAACTATTTGATTAAAAATAATCGTAGAGTTACAGTTTTCTCTTTCGCGTCCCTGTCACATAACCGGTAACATCAGTGGAATTCTCTAAAGAAATCAAAAAACAACTTACCGCTCGACTAGTTTAGTTCGGGTCAGTTTTTTAACCGAGTCCTACATCATACTTATCTTTTTTTACCTTTTCCTCTCCGAGTAAGAAGGTGACCTTCAGCTGGAATGAGATACATCGAAAAGGGTAGAGAAATAAAATAATACGCGCATATATACATATATATATATATATATATATATATATGTACACACGTTTATTCATCATTAATTCGAATAGATAAATTAATTGGACGGACAAGATTCACGGTTAAGTTCGTAGAGAGCACTTGTATGAATATAAAATAGTGCAGTGATAATAGAGAGAAATTTTATTACATTTTTTGCGCACATATTAAAAATCTTTCAATCTCTTTTCATACGTCATGAACAACGAGTAGTTGTTGTCGGGTATTGTCGAGTACGTCTAACGTAAAATCGGATGCATTTGACGGTTAAAATGGATTCGACGTGCATTTATAAAGAGAAAGAGAGAGAGAGAAAGAGAGAGAGAGAGAGAGAGAGAGAGAGATAGGAAAGGGGTGCGCCTTGTTCTCTTTATGTGCCATGTTCTGTTGAGAGAAGAGAAGAGAAGAGAAGAAAAGAGACGAGAAGAGGGTAGAAGGGGTAAGAGGAAGGTAGGAGGAGGGTGTTGCGGGAGGGCAAATACGAGAGTGAAGCCATCGTCGTCGTCGTCGTCGTCGTCGTCGTCGTCGGTCCATCGCTCCAGGGCGTAGCATCAAAGGCAAACGATTAACGGCGTGAGCGTTTACTAATTGCCGTCTCTTGAAAAAATCTTCTACCACCCTCTCGGTCCTCTAAAGTTGGGGTGGTTCGGTGTCCACGGATGTGCGAATTCCACGTGCCACGTCATATTAGGACCTCTTTGATCGGAGGAAGCACGTTAAAGTAGAGTAGTTCGTCACCCTTTGGTAACTTTAGAAGAAGAAGGATCTTTTTCCCCCCATGTCTGGTAGGATAGTAAACAGGATATGTTTACTCCTAAACGTTTATTTAAAAGGTTTCTTTGCTCGTTGAGTCATATTTCGGATTAGGGTAATGAGGAGACGAAATTGAACGGAAAATCTATAAAGATATTTTTCTTTTGAATATTATATTTTAAGAATAGACGAGAGATAATATAAGATCGTTCTATCTTTTTCTTTCTTTTCTTTTCTTTTTTTTTTCTTGTCTTCATTTATATAGATATCATTTGACCGGTCTGATTTGAAAATTACGTTCGTATGTGGTTTCGGAGAAGCGCGCAGTTGTACTCGAACGGACACGCTCCAATCGATTTTCCCTGCTTCTACTACCGCTGTGCTGACTGCACGGGCACACGCACCAAATGGTGCTGGAGTTTCCCCCTTATGGTTAGTTCGCGACAATCTCGCTTATTCTTTGATTCTCTATATTTTATTTTTTTTGTCATTTTTATTTTTGATTAGATTCGACACGAGAGAAAGAGAGAGAGAAGGAGAAACATTCTCGCGTGAAATTCCTTTCGGAATGTTCTTCTTGTTTCGTATACAGACGTAGTATATACACCACCCACTTATCGTTAGACCTGTGTGTTTTCTCGTGATAGATATATAACGGTGAGGATTAAAAAGTCCTTTAAAAAAATCAACGAAACTATTCATTCTATTTATTTGTTCTTTGCTTTTCCTTGACCAATAGCTTAATATCAAACGTGAGATATAGAGAATGTACTATGCAAGTGGCTCGTGAACGTTCTCCGGGTACAACACTTGGTCGTATACCGTTATGTCGACCGTATCGCGTATCTGGCTACCTAAAAATAGAGCCCCCGGAAGAACAACGAAAGTAATTTGGACGGGAGCTCTCTCTCTCTCTCTCTCTATCTCTCCCTCTCTCTTTCTCTCTCTTTCTCCCTCTCCTTCTCTCTTTATCTTTCTCTCGAATATATATACGTCTAGTATAGTTCCCTGAAAATCTTCGATCGGGAAGACTCACTCGTCTCCTTCGATCGATCGTACGTTCGTTCGTTTGTACGAGCACCTGGCGAAAAGATAACATGGAGTAGTTCCCATTTCCGCCGTTGCAAGCAAGCGCACGCATATCACATGAGATTTCGAAAATGACCGAGTTTTATTGGTAAAAAAGAAAAAAAAAAATTTGACGTTATTCCCTTGATTTCGTCCCGAATACCTATCCCCCCCACCCCACCCCCCGTGGTATTCAAATTGGAGAGATGCCGAGGTAGAGAAAAGTGCCGGAGGGTTCTTCCTAAGTAACGCGAAGATTTTCCTCCTCGGGGGCAATTTTCCCATCGTTCATGGTGTGCATTCATTCATTCTTAGCAAATATCCGGATTTTGGATAGTCGAGAGAGACAGAAGAAATTAATTCTTCGTTGAACGAAAGGGGTACGAGAAAGAAGACAAGGACGTCGTGGTGCGAAAGAAAGAGAACGAAAGAGATAGAGAGAGAGGGAGAGAGGGAGAGAGAAAAGAGGAAAATAGGAAAGAAGAAGAAGGAAGGAAAAAGGAAAAAGAAATAAGCTCGTGACCGAGCTCGAAGAGATGACGGGGGAGGAGGGGAAAGGTGGCGGTGGCGCCGGTGGGAATACGAACGGTAATGCGACCGATAATGTGAACAATGTTAACGCTAACATCAATGCAAATGTCAATGTCAACATCAACGCGAACACGAATGTCGTTCACCAAAATGGCGGAACGGAGAAGGCGCCGGTTGTCGGTGGTACCAACGTTGAGACATTGCCGCGTGCTGGAAAACAGGTAAGATGATTATTATTATTATTGTTATTTATAATTATTGCATTGATTTCGAAAGATCAATTGAAAATATCATTTTCTCTTTCGTCATTTATTGTTTCGTAAATTTTGTTCATCTTTTTTTTTTTGAATGTTTTCAAAAAATAAGGCCGATCTATCGATATTATTGTCTTCGAATAATTTGGTTTCGAGGACTAGACACGGCATATAGTTACTTCAGTTTTAAAGGAGTAAAACTCTTTTAGTTTTTTAGTTTTTTTATTTTTTTTTTATTTTTGAACATGTACCCAGACAAGAGAGAGAGAAATGTCCGATCACGTTTTTTTTTAGTCTTCTCTTACGTACCTCAGATCGTTACTTTGCGCAGTGGCATGTAAAGCGACCATTAAGACGAATAGACTGTTGTTGCTTCGTAAAAGGTCACGGTTACCGTGGGCCGCAGACCATTACTATAATAGTAAGCACGATGGTGTACACGCGTGTTTATTTCGATTTGGACTTTGATACTGCTTGTTTCGTAGATATTTTTATTCTTGTTTTATTTTCAATACGCTCGACAAAAATGCAAGGAACGTGAAATTGGTGAAACGAATGCGCGGACTTTCGTAAAAATCAATTTAAAAAAATAATGATAAGTTTTAATGATTATTACGACAGAAAATCGGGACACGCGAGTAATCAAAAATACTTGAGTTAGAAATTCGAAAAATATCTTATCGTTGGAATCACTGCTCGAATTAAAGTGACACTCGTTATTATTGAATTTCTTCGAGGAATAAATAAACTGCATACTCGTTCAAAACATATCGCACCTATAGGGCTTCGTTTACTCGTATCATCCTACTACTTGCTATTTGTTATTGTGTTTCACATATTGCATCGTTTATCCGTTCTCTTTGTGTGCGTGTGTTTACGTCTCGTTATAGACTCACGAATGATTACATCATGGATCAAATCGTATTTCCACGTAAATCTACCACGAGTTTTCAGATCACGAACATTACTGTTTAATTAATCTAACCGAACGCGTAATATCCGCGTCTAACTTAAGATAAACTTATTTTAGATTTATTTTTCGGATAAAAACTTCACCGTCGATCCATTCGATCAAATATAAAATGTTAATCTGAAAATATTTCGAGTATAAAAGGGTTGGTTGAAAAGTTTTGAGCCTCGAGAGACAACAACAACAAAATTTTTATATTAATATTAAAATGCAAACGAATTCGACAGAAAAATGTTTTCATGCAAGACTAAACAATTTTTAATTTAGCGCAACGTATTATGAATATTTTATTTTATGAAGAACAACAAAAAATTTGGTTCGGTTTGTAATTCAATTGGTTTATCATATACGAAAGTAGACCGTGGGTCAATTTAAAATCGTTTTTATGCTTGGTTTAGCTTTTATTTCTTATATCCCTATAATATAAAAGAAAAGAGAAAATAAAATCGGTGAGCTTTGAAGAGTCATCTGAGCCATATGTTACGTAGGCATATTGTGTGGTAGCAAGAAATGCCTGAAGGGCCGACTCGTACGGGTCGTTCCCCCTTTCTACTATCCTTATCGTTCACCCTTTAAACGTTCTCAAGACCATAGATAGGTAAAGTGCTATCTCAAGGAATAAATAGCAACGTAGACATGAAATTTATACGTGCTCTCTTGATCTATAATAATAATAGTAATAACGTTATTACAATAAACTTTTGGTTATGAGTATTTTCCTTGACATTTTGAGATATTGTTCTCAACGTATAAAATAAATGCGTTAATCGATTCTCTTAATCGAGTTTAAACGCGTGCCGCGGATATGATATCATGGCGACACTTGAAATTGGGCCTTTAATAAAATTAACAAAGAACATGACAGTCCTTCCAAGTATAATAAGGGGGATGATGACGAATATAGGTGACCCCAAATCGAAAGAAACGAACGGAAAGAATGATCATTAATTTTTGTGAGATTAAGAAGAAGAAGAAGAATAAGGATCAACGCAATTTCGTCCTAATTCATTTTTTAGGTCGTGATTATGTGCTGCCCACCGTGTGACACGTCAGTTCATAGAAGGCGATGAAAGTACACTCTTGATGATGAGTACTGCTGACTCGTGTGTTACGTGCCGCCGTTCTTAATCAGACGTTGTGCTAAGCTAACAGCTGCCTTATTATATTCACGATGAGATATCTCTGGAATGTCTTTTTCTTTCTCTTAGAAATTAGTTCATAAATTCTCACGAAGAACTTTTTATATATATATATTTTTTTTTCCATGGGAAATAAAAAAATGGGGGAATTTAAATGAAAGGGATATTATTTACATATTTCATTGTGAATTTTTTCATTTGAATTTTAATATACCGAAATGTTTCATTCTTTTGTAAATACTTTTCGAACGAAAAGGGAGAGGGGAGAGAGAGAGAGAGAAAGATAGAAAGAAGATCTTGTTTTGGATTTAATACCTTCCGGCAGAGATTCCACGATATTATTGTAAACGCGAGCGAACTTTTGTTCAGAAGTTTATGCATTGAAAAACTTTTTTCGGTAACAATTGGATGAAAAAATTACGTTTTATGTGCGCATAGGACTAACAGATATCGGCTTTGGATCCTATTTTCTATTCGTTCATTTTCAACCGGACGGAACTGGGTTGTGAAATCGCATTTTAGAGAGAGAGAGAGAGAGAGTGAGTGAGAGAAGGGAAGAGAGAAGAGGACGTACACGTGCACGTTACATAGTATTTCATATATATGTTTAGTGTGAATGCATAGGTGTGTAAAATACATGTATGTATGAATGTACGTAAACATGTATATTTTTATGATGTATCTATGTATATATGTGGATACAGATAACCACCCCTTTTCGTGTCGGCGTAAAAGTAAAGACTGAAAATAAATGTATTTGCGTGTGCACACGTTCGTCTGGTAATGGCGCCATCGGCAAAGCGGAAAAGCACACAACACGGCTTTGCATGTCGAACGAACGAACGAACGGATGAGCTTTTCGCTTTAACGAGTGAACTTCTTTTCCTTTTTTTTTTCTTTGAAATAATTGTCAAAAAGAAGTCAACGGATTTTTTCCTTTGAAAAAGATTATTTCGTTTCGGTAACGCGAATTTCATCAACAAAAAATTTCGTTTTTCGTTTATACATAGATCGGTAAAATATCATTATTATATGTATTATTTGAAATGTCATAGAAAAAGCGCATAATATACGTATAAATATTTTATTTATACGTTGGATAGAGGAAAATAAAAATTATCTTCGTAAGTTTTACTTGAAATTTGGCGAGCTATTCTTTTGATAGATACTTACGCACGGTCGACGATATAGGAAATGTGATTGACCCAGTTCAATAAAGTCCGATAAAACGCTGTTGCCGTTAAAAGCTTTGTGTACGGTTGACCCCGTTCATCGAACGTTACTAGGATAAATCGAGATATAGTTTTATTATTATCTTATATCTCTTGCGACCTTGTGAATTCGATGATAGTATCATGATAATTCGATATTCTTTTATTTTTCTTTTTTCTGTTTTTTTTTTAAGTGAAACTTTTTGGGAGGCGGTAAAGATAATATTTTATGAAATTACGTTAAGAGAGAGGGAGCATAAAGGTAGGGAGAAAGAGAGAGAGAGAGATAAAACCCTCAGTCGATCGACAGTTGAATGAGATTATGGAAGGTTCTAATGTTAGTTGTGGTGAGTGTGTGTTTATATATCAGAATCAGTTTAATACCCGTTAAAGTAAGAATAATATATAAAGTATGTTTGTTTAACAATTACATATATATACTTCAAATAAACACAATTTCAATTTGATATTTTATTAGATGAAAATTTTCAACTTAAAGTTGAAACATAATATTGATAATAAATCGGTATAATAATCAATACTTACATATATAGCAGTTGGGTTAAATAGTTTTGTGCTTAACATAGAAATCATTTATTTATATTTTTCGACATAATCTTAAAATTATTCAACTTATTTTCTCGTAAAGAATAGATCGTTCGAAAAGTAATTTCATTTTTGTAATAGTAAATAACAGACACGTTTCTTTTTATATTTCATATCAACAACTTCGTTTAGAGAGATTTTTGTTTTATATTACACATTATTTAAATACTCGATGAAATTGAGAAATTACGAACAACCTAATATATTAGATGACATTTTTGTTTTAAATTTTATGACGTTTATCGATTAGCATTTGACTTATTTTTGTATTTTGAATCCATCATCGGTATCATTTGAACAACGGAAACCGATATTTCAGCTTTACATTGCAACCGCGTAGAGTTCCCTTTACACATATACATACCACAATGTGTAGAATTACGCTCACGAACGTGTATAACCGACACGAGGGATCGACCCCCTTTTGCATTGTCAATATCTCTCCTCTCTTTACCCGTTACAGTCCTTTCGACCTGCTAACCCGACTGCCGACGACTCCCCTTCTTGAGTCTTTAACAGCTAAACCAAGGTTCATAGCACCCCAATGTCGTTTAATTTAGGCAAACGTAGAGGACTACTCTACGTCGAGAATTAAATTGGTCCTTCGAAGTGGTCTCTCTCTTTCTCTCTCTTTCTGCATTCCGAAGCTTTACATACTTTTATTCTCAAGTGCCGTTAGACTTTGAGAGATCTTTTTTTCCTACTTCAAATTCGTTTATCTTTTCAATCGCATTTAGAATCAATGCCTCCTTTTAATTCTTTTTCTCTTTTTTTTCTTTTTTATCTTATCGAATATAGAGTTATATGCATGCACATGTATAATTAAAAAGCAAACAAGTAAGCGAGTTAAAATTATAAATAGTTATCGTCAAAATATTATTATTCTCCTACAGAGTTTGTGCACGTATTTATTCAAAAATGATAAAAAGAAAGACACCATTTAAAAAGATGAATCCTATTTGCTTCGAATAAAATGTCGTATGGGTTTAGTGTAGTAGTCGTTCGTTCGTTTGTAAGATGCGCGCTCTTGTGTGCGTACAA